ATTCTACCTCGACCAGTCGACCCAGCGGTAGAGAAGCCGATCGCACCCGTCGCCGCAGCTTCTTCGCTCGCTGAAGGGACACCCTTTTTTAATTAGTCGGCTGCGAAAACTCCCGTCCGCAAGGAGAAAGAGAGAGGGAGAGAGAGAGTGATCTCGCGTCGGTCCATGAACGCCGCGTACGCACGCGAAGACGCTGCATGCACGCGCGTGCTGCACGAGATGATACGTCGGGAGGACCAGTCCAGGTGCAGCCGTGCGATACACGCCCCCGTACGTGGGAGTGAAGCGTACCCGCGGAGGATCCCGGTGTAGAGAGTGCCGGGGCTGCGATCCGCTCCTCCGGATGACGCGCTGCGACTCGGTGTGTGCTACGTCGGAGCGGCCGCACGGTTGATTCGGTAAACGCGCGGATGCGGGGGACCGGAGATGCGTCGTCGCTCCTCACTTGCGAGAGTGAAGTCATCCTTTCGAATGTGTCCGAGGGACTCCGAGCGAGTGTGGCTGTGAGTGAGTTCGAATTGTGACTCGGAGGAGGGTCGAAGTGGATGGCGACCGAGGAGTGTCCGTGGCGATCTTGAGCTCCGAATAGAGACGAGCGAGGACGAGCGAGGTCGTCCCGGTGCACGGCGATTTAAATCGCGGTGCTTTCGTCGGCCGCTCGGCTGGAACCTGTTTGCACCGAGGCGGCCTTCAGCCGGGTTTTTGGAAATGCGCTTCCGGTCGCCGGCGTGGAACGCGATGTATTTCTGTGCCGCGTGAGAGAGAGAGAGAGACGAGGGGACGAAGCCACGAAGAGAGGAAAGAGGGAGGAGGGGGAGAGAAGAGGGAGAGACGAGGGACCGGGGGAAGAAGCGAGAAAAGTTTCGCGGGAAGCGGCGGCCGTCGCCGCTGATAATTATACACGGCGCTCGGGACTGCCTCGTTACTGAAATTGCCGCGCGTGCAGCCTTCCTGATGATTGTTTTCGGCACGACGTACCTTTTCCCGAGCGGTGTGTACAAAGGGAGTTCGTTAGAAAATAAAGCGGGCGCTCTTGATTGACGAGATCCCCTGAGGGACGAGGAGGACTCTCTGAGATAAATAGAGGAACACGCTCGGACCGTGAGAATCGAAGCGATCGGGACTCCTCGTTTCGTCCTGCGGCCGGCGTGCGACCCCCTCATCCTTCGCTGAGAACAGAAAGCTCCGGGAAATAAAGAGAGAGGGAGCGCGGCATATTGAATCCCGAGAAGCTCCCGAGGAATCAACAAGTCGCCGTTTCCCAGCCCCTGTGGAGAAGCAGATGGATTCAAAGGCAATATCGATTACGCGGGAATAAAGGATAATCCCAAGGAACACGTCAGCACGAAGTGCGACGGCTCAAGAGAGTGGGATTAGAATTCAATTTAGCTTAGAATCGTCCGGATAAAGCTCCGCGAGCGAGCGTGCTTTCAGATTACCCGCGGAGATCGAGCGCTCCCGAACGAAATCGAACGCCTCATAGCGCGAGGCGCTGCGAAGCGAGAAGCGCGCGGGGCGAGGCGAGTTTCCGTCGGGGAACGGGACGCGGCAGGGAAATTCTCGCGAGCGGAAAAACGGGTCAGTCGTGGGCCACGCGGTCTCAGCCGTCTGTGAAACCGTCTGCCCACGTGAGAGAGAAATCGCGGGACCGAGTTCGCCGGCGGAGCGAGAGGAACGCGCACCGTCTCGCGAGACGAGCGGACTTTTCGCCGAAAGAAGAAGAGCACTTGGTGTATTTGTACATGTAATAATTGCCGCAGTGAAAGAATCATAGTCCCCGGAGGAAGAGACGAGTGAATGCGGCGTCGGCGACGATAACTTTACCATCGCTGCTGCTATTTTTGTAATTGAGATCACCAAGAAGAATACATAGTTGATGCTGAAAAGAACGATCATTTCTTTCGGCGTGCGTGAGGGGAGCGCGTGGCGTGTCCGATGACATCGCGAAGTAACGGCCGGACAATTCGACGGTGCCCGCGAAGTTTCAGCGGCAGCGAGATTTCAAGCGCTTCTTCCCCGCGCGAATGTACGAATCGATCTCAGCCCGAGTCTGGTAAAAAGCGACACGGTGGGATTTTCGTGCTTCCGTCCAAAGAGAGCCGTCGTCATTCGTCAGTGCCCGAGCGCTGAAAAATCGGCAGACGAGAGACTTACCTTCAGCGTTCCCGTCATCTTCCATCTTTCACGAGGGACATCGACGACGGAGAGACGATAACGTTTCCCGAGTCGCGCGATTCTACTTCCCCGCTCATCGATCAACGGCGGCGGGACGGCTCCTTTCCGCCGCGTGAACAGAACGCTTTGCATTTTTACGCAAGAGCGCGGCGCGCGCGAGCCACCGATCGGCGCGATCGCTGGGCGCCTTCACCGCGTATACGGCGGTGCACGATGCGATTGCGACGGAGCCGCGGCGACCCGCTGGCTTGCGACACTCCTGCGCGACGCGATCCCGCGTGATTCATGAAAAAGTGGGTGTCCGGGGGAGGAGGGATGTTCGTTCGCCCGCGAATCGGCGGAAGTGCGCGAGGGAGCGGCCCGTGAGAATCGTCTTGGAAGATCGCGCGTACGAGGGGTTCGAGAAGACGCAGGGTCTTCCTCGCAAGGATGGACAGGAGCGATAACAATGTTGTCGGGGTCGGCAGCGGAAGCGGCGGCGGTGGCAGCGGTGGCAGCGGCGGCGGCGGTGGAGGAGGCGGCAGCGTCGGCTGTCACGTGGGAAACTCCGGATCCCCGCCGAACTCCACCTCGTCGACCCACGGCACAATGCACAATTCCTCGGGCGGGTTCGACGGCCAGGTAGCGCATTCGGGAGATTTTCCTTACGATCACGGATTTGAGAATGGGAGGAACGATAGGGAACATGCGCGAAGATCTTCTTTAGCGACGTCGATCATCGTCGACGATGCTAAGGCTGGATCTACAATAGATGTAGGGAGCCTTTATCCTGTTGAAAATTTCCAGGTGGACCATTCCGTGGAATTCCGACGGAACTCGTGTGAATCTGTGTAGGATATTAAAGACCTACGGTATGGAGAGCCAGGAAACACCGGAATAATCGTAGCACCAGTGTTGCAATTTTACACTTAGAAATATAAATGCGACATCACGCGCGTGTAATATATTGCATTTGCATTGCCGAGTGGGAAAATGTATAATTGATAATCGTGTTACTCGGTGCTTGCTGGGAATCCGCACGGTGTGCGATGATCCATGTAGGAATTCACGGTTTGTGAAAATTCATAAAGGAATCTATATGGATCATTGTCTGAGGCCTGAGTTTTTGGCGCAAATTCTCAGAAGCGACTGTGGGATTCCCAGTACGATCCCTGTATGGATTTCCTGTGCAGATTTTCATCCGGACATTTTCAACAGAATAGTCTTTACACCTATTGTAGGGCTAATAGGTCCTAACGATCGCGTTGCGCACGCATGTGCGCTGAATAAATCGTCCGTTCTAATCATGCGTTCTGATTATGCATTCCGGGATAACTCGTCAACGCGCGCGCGTCTTCAAGAATAGCAGATCCGGCGCGCCCAGAACATCCACTCGTATGACAATTGACGTGCCGCATACGAGATTTCTAAAAATAGACAGTTCCTTTATTATTTTCTCCTCTCCTCTGACCGTCTTCCCCGCGCGCGATAATTTGCTGAATATCTCGCGGAGAATTGCAGCATGGCTCACTTCGACGTAGTGTTTCTTCATTAGGACGGAATATTCAACAGTGAGAGATCAATTAAAGGAATCAGGAACAAGGAATCAAAAATACCGGGGATTAGGAATAAGATATTGAAAATAAGTCACAATTTAAGACACGATAAAAGGAATAGAGAATAAGATGTAAGAATATTTTGAAACGAGATCGCCACTTTTCCTATTTTCTAATGAACCTCTATTGTCATCATCAACATTCTTTTATCATTTCTCTTATAATTATCAGTTGATTCAAACTGATTTTCGCTGGTATATTGATCGTCATTAGATATTTTGAAGATTAACTTCCAATTAACTATTCCCTGTTGGAAAAAACCAGGTAGGAATCCATATAGGAAATCCATGTGGAATCCCATGGTTGCTTGTTGCCTTTGCGCCTCTCTCTCTCTCTCTTTCTTTCTCTCTTTCTCCGTCCCGGTCCAATCGCTTTAAAGATCAAAGATCGTCCGCGGGCGTTGTTAGCGAGCGAATGCACGAAACTCAAAGCAAATAGCTCACTTGGTCCTCGTCCTTTTGGCATCGTCGTGTCAGGTTGTGGTCGATTTGATCGGCCGCGGGGCCGGGAATTTCGCTAAGCGTCGCGTCTCTACGAAGTTCCCGCTGTAACTCCGCCATTCGATACGGGGAGGATATTGGATTATCGTTCGTCGATCATTCCAGCAGGAAGGGAGAGCTCGCTACCACGTGTTCGCACTGATTTACAAGCCCATTGGGCTAAATTTATCTGCGGCGAATCGCGGAACTCGCGTGTGCACTATTTTAACCCTCGCATGCACCGGTGACGCACGGGAGGGGGAAGGGGGAAGTTCATTGTTCCCGCTCGTTGTCGCACCGAAATCCAATTACCGCGGCGGATGAATGCTTGATGATTATTAACGTTAATTCAGGCGGAGTGAGTTCCAGGGAAACTACGGAGTTGGGAATGCACGAAGCTACGCGGAATGCGCGTAATTACTCCATTGTGCGCGCTTCCACGTGCGTAGGAAATGAATTACGGTTTTCAATTAGACGATACCGTCGTGCCCTTTAACTGCCAATTGAACGTCAATTGTGGGCAGGATGAAATGTTAATTTATTTATCGATGCGAGAAAAAGTCCTCGCAATTGACGGCCTCGTCGCGAGACACTCTCCCAGAGAACATTAAGACGTTGCAAAGGCAATAAGATGTCTAAATGACGTCTCTGAGACATACGTGTTGTGCGAGCTATTATTGTTGTTAACATATATGTATGTTAATAATGTATCACTATACTGAAGGGGTCGGTATCTCTTTTTCAATTCCAGACCGGCGATAGGGGATGGGATATCCACCATGTTAAGGTCACCAGAGTGCCCGGTTACGGTTTCGGCATAGCTGTGTCAGGAGGTCGCGACAATCCACATTTCACTAATGGAGATCCAGCAATCGCGATCTCCGACGTGCTGAAAGCTGGCCCGGCTGAAGGAAAGTTACAGTAAGCTCGACGATTCATTCGTACTTCTCTATGTACTTCTGTTCTTCTATTCACTTCTGTGTTATCCGGGGAGGAATTTCCTCGAATTTTTTATCTCTTTGAATGCTCTCTCTATTGTTAGTTTTTTTAATGTATTATTCCAATCGAACTTGTTCGGCCGATTAACGCCGCTCGAATGTGTCATTCGCAGAGTGAACGACCGTATCATATCCGCTAACGGAGTGTCACTGGAGGGCGCGGATTACGGGGCTGCCGTGCGGGTCCTGAGGGATTCCGGCACTACCGTTTTATTGGTTGTTAAACGAAGAGCTTCCTCGAATTCGCCGGGTTGCCTAGGTAGCGCGGGTCCTCAGAGTCATCGACTCACTCTCACGCGAAACAATAAAAAAGACGGTACGTAATTAAACGATCGTGTAATGATGTATCTCACGATAATCAGGAAACGTAAGTTGAAACGCCACTTTTATCTGCCGGCCGCTTTGTCAGCTTTAGAATCTAATTAAGACAATTAATTTAGTTTAACGTAATCCTCGGTTTAACTCATAATCTGATCTTCAAATTCAGTTTTCAATTCATACCTTCTTATTGTCCCTGAAAGAGGATTCCCGAGTTCAACGTCGTACTTATTATTAAATATTACAAAGTTTATTTTACGAGATATAAAGAAATCAATATAAAGAACCGTCCTTTCACATTCTTCTGCTTACTCGGGTGAAGTATTGCCTCGCGAATAAGTTTCTCCGGTAGGTTTCTACTTGCGGCGTATTTACAACCCTTTTTTGCGCTGTACACTCATTCATTCCCTCGATAAAGAGAAGTACACTGGCGCCGCCTCGATTTCTAGACTTCGGCATAGTGCTGGGATGTCGATTGTACGTAAAGGAGGTTACGCGAGAAAATATCGGAGTGAAAACCGGGGACGTGCTAACCCGAATAGGCAGCGTTGCCGCCGACAATATGAGTCTGAAGGAAGCTAGAAAGCTGATGGACCAGTGCAAAGACAGACTCTCGATAGTAATTACGCGGGACAGCTCCTGTTGCCACGCACAGCAGCAAGGTAAAGGGGATAGCGGTGAATACCTGTCGGGCGCGAGTTACAGTAGTCAGAACTTATACGTTCCGCCACCTACGAGGCAGCCCTTGGAGGACAAGAGTAACCTCGTGCCGAGAGGTCGTTCGCGGGGTCCGCTGATGGACGTCTCCCTGAGCCAACTGGATCTACCAGCTACACCCACAGTGGATCCACCCAGGCCACCTCCGCCCAGGCCGGAAGGTACGCGTCGCGATGTTTACTGTCGGTACCGTCGCAGAACGCCAGTCCTGCAGTTCAACCCTTTCTTGCATAGCGTCCCATATGGGACATTCTATCTCCTCGTACTTTTTCTATGTTTTTTTTTTACGTATCTTATAATTGCGTAACATATGCGATGTATTGGATCCGTCGTTTTGTATTTTTAAATTTCGACTTCAGATTTGCAATCGGCAACCCCAAAAACTCCCCCATGTATTAAAATTCAGCAAAGTATGTTGAACGGAAAAATTTGTGCAACAAAGGTTTAAGAAATTTGAGTATAATCAACTGTCGTTCGTGCAAAAAAGTCGCAGGCTGCTTTTCAAAACGTGTTTCCAAACGTGCGTTTTATGTGGAATTTTTGCATATATTATAATAACAGACGCGCGAACAAGTCACTTCTCAAGATCAAAGCTATAAAAGTCGTTTTTATCGAGATTGATCTTGCGATGGCGAATTGAAGATCAAGATTCAGTTGGTTTTATTTTTATTTAATGCGTTCTTTTTGTTCGTAGACTATTATAGCACACGCAGGCAACTGTACGACGAAGATTCGGTTTCGCCACGGTCCAAACAGCCGATGTAAGTTGACGAAGTCAGGTTATTCAACTTTCTACAATAGATGATTATTTTTATAACGTGTAATGTATCACCTCGATATTGCGTGTGTGTAGGCCGGATCCTCGATTCATTACCTTCCAAAAGGAAGGATCCGTAGGAGTGCGATTAAGCGGCGGTAACGAAACCGGAGTCTTCGTGACTGCAGTTCAATCGGGAAGTCCCGCGTCGCTTCAGGGTCTTCAGCCAGGGGATAAAATTTTAAAGGTCGGTATGACATGTAATAAGTGCAAATCACCTAATTTACATTCAAATAACTAATAGTTCTACATCTAAAACTCGTTTTGAGAAAATAAAAGTGACTATATAGAAGTAGAACAAATATTATCAACAATATATATCTGATGCGATATTTTTATGATAAAATTTTAAATATTAGACTTTCTTATTAGAAGGATACTTTCATAATTTTAGATTTTTTCTTTCTTTATCAAAATATAGAGATAAGGGAAAGATTGAATAATAAACTGTTTGTAAAATGATTAAGGGATTGCATTTTTAATGTTAAAATGTTAATATTGCTGGCAGATATTTGAAATATGGAGAAGAATGTAAAGAATATAAAGAAATATTGTTACGACAGATAAACGATATGGACATGAAAGGAGTCACGAGGGAGGAGGCTGTGCTTTTTCTTCTCAGTTTGCAAGAACAGATCGATCTTATCGTGCAACATCGTCGTCAGGAGTACGATCAGATAGTTGCGTCTGGCAGAGGCGACTCCTTCCACATTAAGTAAGCAACGTTTACAATACGATTAATTCTTGAATGTTAGTGTAAAATGAAAATGAAATATGATTTTTGAATAGAAATATATATGCAACCAGTAATAGTAAAATTAGTAAAATATTATTAATCCCACGCATTAATGGTTAATAAAAATTCAATTTTCTCAATAATATTCTATTTTATAGAATCCATAGAAAGCAGCTACTAATAGAAACTAACTATTAATAGAAAACGTATCAATACAAAATGCTTAATTTTGCTTTCGAGTTAGTCCCGCTTCCTTCATGTATTTGTTTCCGACGTTTCATCAACATTCCAGCTCACAAAAGTTACATCGAAACTGTAAAATAGAATAGCGAAGAACATGAGTCAGATTTTTTCAGTTAATTTTGGAGGACAAAATATGGCTGATGAGATGTAATCTGTGAAATGCGTAGAACCCATTTCCATTACGAGCAACCACAGAAAGGCGAGATGAGTTTCCGCAGCGGAGACGTTTTCCACGTAGTGGACACTCTTCACAACGGTGTCGTGGGATCCTGGCAGGTCTTCCGGATAGGACGCAACAATCAGGAAGTGCAGAAGGGCATCATACCCAACAAGGCTCGGGCTGAGGAGCTAGCGACTGCGCAATTCAATGCGACGAAGAAGGAGATGAGCGCGAGCGAGAGCAGAGGTAGCTTCTTCAGAAGAAGAAGGAACAGCCACAGAAGATCAAAGTCTTTGGGAAGGGTAAATATCCGGCTCTTTCTACCTTTTTATCGTTTATCGAAAAGACGCACACACAGAAAAGAAAAAGGTTTCTTTGGATTTAGTAAATGTATTTGTTTGTTGACTTAGGTTTGTTTAATATAAACGAACTAACCAGATAAATGAAAATCAATCGAACAGATTTTCACGTCCCTTTCGATGTAATCTAGGATCACTGGGACGATGTGGTGTTCTCCGACAGTGTCAGCAAGTTCCCAGCTTATGAGCGCGTGATCCTGAGACATCCCGGCTTCGTCAGACCCGTCGTCCTTTTCGGGCCAGTAGCCGACCTCGCCAGAGAGAAACTTCTCAAGGATTTCCCCGACAAATTCACCTCCCCGCGTAAGTGAATGGCACGTTAAATGTCTTCCATTGACTGTAGTATATGTTGTGTGTTTTACAGAAATTGATAAATCTCACAACTATTTGATGTTGTAGAAATGGAAAGTCAGATGGAAGACGGCGCGGGGAAGAACACCAAAACGTCCGGCATCATTCGTCTGAGCGCTATCAGGGAGGTGATGGACCGTGGGAAACACGCGTTGCTGGACATCACTCCCAACGCCGTAGATCGATTAAATTACGCCCAGTTTTACCCGATTGTCATTTTCCTGAAGGCCGAGACGAAGCAGGTCATCAAAGAGATGAGAGCTGGCATACCAAAGTAAGAACAACAACGGATCCGTAAGTTTACTCCGTGATATGATCATGTTCGACGTTCGATTGCAGATCAGCGCACAAAAGCAGTAAAAAGCTCTTAGAGCAATGCCAGAAACTCGACAAAATCTGGGGACACGTATTTAGTGCGGTGATTACTCTCAATGCGCCCGAAGCTTGGTACCGAAAGCTCAGGGAGCTCATCGATCGCCAGCAACAAGGCTCGCTTTGGATGAGTCAGACTAAGGTGAGGCTATTCAATTTTACCTACGGGTTGTTCTGTGGAAAGCACAAATGTCACTTCAATCACGACATTTTTCGTGAATTTCGAATCGACTTTCTTAATGAAAAGAATCAAAATGTAATACCTTTCAAACGATCGTGCGAAAGAGTAATTATTCCAAAGCAAAAGAATTCTCTGAGTAAGGATGGACAAAGTGTCTACATGATATTCTTAAAAACATCCCTCATATATGTTATAATTTTCATTTCGCACTTTACTATTGTTCCATCGAGATATCTTCTTTACGCTTTCTTATTGCGATTATTCTTCTTTCCTTTTCTCATCAGATTGAACATATCGGCGCTATTTCATCTCGAATGTAAAAAATGTAAAGAAGCACAACTAAAAGTAATACTGGAGTGGTCTTTGGCGACTTCCTTTTCTTTGATCTCGTCTTCCGTTTTCATCTTTTTCTTTTTTTTTTCTTCTTACGAACGTCACGTCGTTCGTGTGTACATTCCATTGTACAACGACTTTCGGCGTAATATGGGCTTGTTTGTTATAGCCAATATATAGCCGATACACGGTGTGGGAGTTCTCGCAACCGCCTATGCACGCTCATACTCCACTTCTCGCCCTTCCACCTCCTCCGCTTCCCAACAACAATGTATATTACGACGAGAATAAAAATCACGACATGCTCTTGTCGCATTATCAGCCATCAATGTTATCGACGTCTCTCGCGAGAAAAGCCCCGCCACTTCCCCAACTGCCTCTGAACTCAGACGTCATCCTTGAGCAATTTTTCGGCTATATATAAATCCCGCTTTCTCTCTTTTTAGCTTTTTCTGCATGCGCTCTTTCAATTCTTGCATGATTTGGTCTGTCGTTCATTCCTCCTCCTTAAAACTAGAGATTCGAATCCTCAATCCCGGTGTTAATTGTTACCGTTTGAAAAAATACATATTTTCGGAGCTCAATTACGATGAAATTAAAATATGACGGAATCTTCATGTCCTCAGAATTATATTAATGACATAATATTATTTTACGATATAATTTAGCAAAATGATTTAATTGTCAGAATCGTTCTTTTCACCATTTTGTTACAATTACGCTTCGAAAGTATGTAATTTTTCTTAGTATAATTTGTTGAAAAGACATACATTTTTTTATGTGTACACATACAAACAGAAAAAAAGTACTTTCTCCTTCGTATACTTTTTCTTGCATTTTCGAGGATCGATTAAATTTTGCATGCTATCGATTTTTGATGTGTGATCTGACGAATCGCATGCCTCTAAATGCACGTATTTCTTAAAGAAATTATTAAATATTAATTAACACGCACATGTATTTTTCACATTCTAAGTACGTTTTGCTTCTCTCGCATCTATAACGGCTGTTATTTGTCAATTATTTATGATCTACTTTTCTGTTAAAAAAATAAATAAATAAAACGAGGAAATATTTTGCAGTTGTGTGTGTACATTTAATATTATTGTAACATAAAGCACTCACTCACAAACACACACACACACACACACACACACACACACACACACACANGTATAGTGATTCATCACATGTTGCATCACGTGTACATTAACGTGCCTTCGAACAACCCAAGCACACATTGTGTCGTCTAGTTATTATATGTATGTACCGTTTACATAACGTGATGTCCTCTGCGGCCTGCGCTCGTAGCCGGAAGAAGCCCTCTCGGATGACTTCCTATTCCCGATGACTTCTCGCCTCTCCTACGCTTCCTCCCCGGAGAGCGACCTGGAGCTGAGCCCAGCGCCTGTTATTCCCGGCACGCTGGGTCCGCCGTCGCGGCTGAAAAGCAGCTCGGATCCCAGCATTGCTACTCAAGATGACACAACCGCACCGCCGCCATATTCAACGAATTATCAGGTAACATATACATGGTTTAATACATATGCAAGAAGCAACTTTCCCTAGCAGCTGATGAATTAATTCGTTCATTCGTTCGTACATTCGATCGGAAATCTCTCGCTCTAAGGATGCATCCTCCATCAATTTCCATCAGACCGGATCTATGATAGTATAGTAAGCCTTTAGTTTTTTGTTCTGAGCAATAAAATGTAACGTAATACCTAGCGAAAGATACTTTCGAAAGTCGTTATAACACTTAGATCTTAGGAAATGCGCAACGTCTGGCAGCGCTGAAAGCGTTTCTTGCTAGAAATCACGTTATAATTTAATGCTCCGAGCAAAAAGCTAGAGACTTACTGCAACCATTGTAGATCCGGACTTAAGGATACACGCATAAATGAGGAAAACATTGGGAGAAAGTGAACTCTTCTTTCTCTCTGAGTCGATAAATGCAGGGTGATAAAATGCAGGGTGATCTTTTTATGATTAATATACCTTCGACGAATAATATACCTTCGGGAAATTAACGTTCTTGGGTCGCATGTTTCTTTACAGCAATCGTTCGAGCAGCAGAAGAGAAGATCCCAAGGTGGTGTGGGTGACAGCAAATACGGCTTCTCCCTGTCCGGGCAGATGAGCAATCAGTCGGGCTCGCCGGAATACCTGGGCGGCTCCTTCGAGCCTCGATCTCCCCATCACAGCCCTCCGGATCTTCCGCCGCGTGTCGACCGAAACGCCAAACCAACTAACCAAACGCCGCGGGGGACGATCGGGCGATCCGCTCAAGAGCGTCTAGTGAACAAAACCGAATCGATCTTGGACATGGGAAATTACATCAACGCGACTCCGCACAAAGCGAACGCCACGTCGTCCCTCGAAAGGGCGCAGCCGAAAGCGGTAAGCACCTGACAGACTTCGTTCGTTACGTTACTCACCTGTTGCCCGGTACGTAGCGGTGGAAAAGTCGGAAAACGTAAAATTATTTCGAGAAAAATCAAAAGATGGACCACGGACGAGAAATCGTAATAAAGTAAGCCTGGCACGACGCATGTATGTACGTGAAAGAGAAAAAAAGGAACGAACGAACCGATAAGATTGAAAACTGAGGTACGCAGCGGAGACACGAACTGAGAATTTATTTTGAATCACTTCTATGCTCAAGATTATGTTTTCGTACGAATAGGGAAGTTACGACAGCATGTCCTCCTACGATTCGTACAACAATACGAATGGGAACGCGAGCTACGGCGCGCCTAATCTCAACACGTCGACGGGTCGCCTGGGTCCGAACGTGCCGGATGATCTCAAGAGCAGCAGCATGCCAGCGAGGTCGCACGATCCGTATCGATTCACCAGGTCCACGGCTCAACCGATTCCTACGCACGAAGCTCAAACGCGGACCGATTACGCCAAATACAGGTATACGCGTCGTCGTAACACGCGACGAGGAATTGAAATGTCGAGCGAAGAAACACTGATCTCTTCATTATCATCGTTTTTTCTTGTTCACAGCCGATCCACCGACTACAAGTCGGTACCGGTTCCGCAAAACAAGCCGGGAGGCACCTACAAGCCGATTCCGCCACCGAAGCCGAAAAATTACAGACCACCGCAGACATCGCTCGCGCCGACGGAGAACAACGGCAACGATGGGAACAATTCGTACCAACACTCGAAGAGCTATTCCATCGCCACGTCTCACGTGCACAATGGGGTAATTATTTCACGAACAACGGATTAGTCGATCGAGATCTGCGCGGTTATCCTGTTATCGTATCGCTTCCGGATGTAAAACGCATAACGCAACACGTGGACTTTTCATCTCCGTTCAGGTAGAAAGCAGCAGCGGCAACGTTCAGCGCAACAGCGGCCAATATTACTACAACATTCCGCCGCCCGGCCGACACAATGAGAACAATCTCGTGAATTCGCATCACAATCTAAGTCACCTCGCGCCACCGACGCACAGTCATAGCCTCAGTCACACGCACTCGCACTCCAGTCCGCCGGTCACCACTACGCACTCCCACAGCAACAGCGCCGGTCAGATCAACCTCGGTCTCGCGCACAACCGCACCAGCACGAATCACAACGGGTACATGCACGGTAACAATCATACGCCGGCCGGTCCGATCTACCCCTCCGCCAATCCCGGACACAACAGGGAACCCAGCGGCCTCGACCTGGCCGGCAGTCGAGAGCAGAGAGGCAGCGCTTTCGAGCTCTATCGAAAGCCGGTTCATAATTACAACATAAGGTGAGCGTAGACAGACGAAACGGTGAAGACGTTGCAAGTAACGCGTTACTTCCCAACTCTGGTGGTAAAAAAAGTAATAAAGTAATTAAAGCGTTATAATAATAGCATAATATAATAAAATAATTAAAATATCAAGTGGTAACAAGTGTATGTGTAAAATTAAAACAATTATCTCGTTACAACAACTGCGATTTGACTCTTAAAGGCCAAATCTAGATATCTCGGTTATCATTGCTCCTGATATTTATGTAGTGTACCGTTGAACGTGTGAATCTCCTTCTCGATCCTAAGAACGGTCTCAATTCATGAGAATATTGTTGTGTGTTGCAGTTAACGTGCATCCTGACGCAAGACTTGTTGTTACTAGGACGAATTATAATCAATTTCCCTCGGAACGCGGCAAAGTGAATTGTGCAATGTTGTAAGTGTAAATGAAAATCAATCGACGATTACGAGACGCGATTGCGAGACGCATCTTCGAAGTACGGATAGAGGAGGGATTCATCTTTCGATTCGTACGTACGTAGGGATCCTGAGACATCAATGTGGTGAGACGGTTTCTTTGATCTCGCGAACATGGTAGATTAAATGGATATTCTTGGCGCGGAGGGTAGATTTCGCTTATACCGTGACGTATCTGGAAATTTGTTATCGAGAACAGCTATTAGAGCAGCATATCAAAGACTGTCACATTCGCGACATTTTAATTAAGATCAAATTGATTTGCTTCGTATTGAATATGTAAGGAAATTTCTAAACAAAGATGCATAAATCGTGCATGGTTTATATGGATTCGACGCGAAGGTGTGAAAGGGTTTTTAAGGGACTATATGTTGCTAAATGCAATGTTACGTGACGATATTGTGTCGTCTACCCGTTACATCCTGTATTCTGAATTATCTTTTATTGATAAAAATGCTTTTAAAGGCTTAGGAATCACCTGATTGGCTGAGAAGCCACATTTAAAAGGAGAAGCCATTTTTATCGATAAAACGAAGTTCAGAATGCAGATGCTATATGATGATTCATATGTTACAGCAATACGAAGTCATTGTAAGTTATATTTTCTCTCTTGATAACACTAGACTGCGAAAATCGACGTTTTTTTTTTGCAAATACTGAGGATGCTGCAACACCATGAAAACCCTCAAAATCGTCTTATTTCACCTCTTTGACGCCATTTCTCTCGAAATTGTGATGTAATAGCCAAATTTGGAAAAAGGATTCGTGTTTATCCGGCAGAAATGAATAAAAATCACCTAATCTCATTACATCCGCAAATTTTCGCAGACTAGTGTAATTTGAACAGGAACTGTCAAGTTGGAAAATGCAAATCTTACGAGAAGATATCTCAAAGATGTATTGCGAATCGACATTATTTTATTCACATAAATTAAACGTCATATCATTTCGGATATTTAAAAAGAAAATTGTAAGTTTTTTTTGGTGATATGTAAGGAAAAATGTGAAATTCCAAGTGTCATATGAATTTACTATGATACTTTCTCCAAGTGGACGATTGAAAGAGAGATACTTAAAGATACTTAAAGATACTTAAAGATTCCAGTAGAACAATGCATTTGCATGCATCAGTATATGTGATTTGAGGAGTTTCTTCGGACTTTTTTTTCTGGAAGGTAATCCTCCTTCCAGCCGAGGCCAGGCTTTATGGTTATTTATTATGTAGACCGTATTGCGTATCATTATTATTATTATAAACCAAATGACTTTTCCATGTTTAGGTATCGTTAGTATTAAGGTATCATAAAGAACTTATATTAACTGTAATAATACGTGCGTCTCTGGTAATTATTAGACATCGCCATTACATATACATATATGCTGATAATTTTATATCACCAGTTAAAGCGTAAACAGATTATACTACTGTTAACAAAGTGCGGGTGGGATTACGTTATATCATGTAATTAATGCTGTGCAAATGTCGAATGCAACCAGCAACAAAAGACAAAATTCGATTATTATTCATGCGTGCAAGTATTAAATTGAAAAACGTACGCGAAAAACGGTTTATCTCGCATTATCCTAGTGAGACTATTAGATCTGTTGTATATCAAGCTCTCATATGATAATTTAAGGATAACAAAGAGAGTTAGAGGAATATCCGGATCTGTTCTTCCTTCTGTAGAAGAGTGAATAGAGAGCGACGACAGGAGCGTACGGCCGAGTAAAAACAATATGTATGTTTATATATAATTTCTGTATAATTAATTAATGTTTAAAGCGCTTTAATTGACATTTTTGCACCACTCCTTTGATCTTTTACTTCTCATTACATGCATTGTTTAATTCCGAAATATGCATACAAAAGTTTTGCCGTTATCTCTTAAATCTTTGTCAATTTTGGATGTACTATAATAATATGCGAAATGTGCAAGAAATCGAATTTCATTGATTGTGAAATCAAAAAGTATTTTTCCGCGCAATTGTAATTAGTTTTAAATAATACCTGTATAATCCATGATGCAAGATAATAAGGAAAGAAGAGAAGGAGAGGACAAATAAAGTAAACGAGGGAAGACAAAGCTATATTTGCTTCAAATACTTTGTGATATTTCCGTTATGTTACATATGGCCATAAAGATTACACCGTCGTGTCTATGTAACAAGAAAAAAAACTTAAGAAGAACAGGTAACGAGTATATATGATGAGTTCTTCGTTGCGAACTTGAACGAAACGTTCTATACTATTAATAAAATATAATTTTCTTCTACGTTGTTTAAAAAAATATCACGATAAATCTGTTTTAATATACATATATTTATAATTGACTGGCTAGTCTGATGGATGTAATAACGAGGATCCCAAGGATACCTATATAGTTCTATTGATGTAGTTCGTGTGGACAGAATCTCGTATAATATACACAGTCCGCAATATAAGAAGGAAGATGTGAAGCCACTATTATATTGAAAAATGCGACGACATAAATACCAATTAAATAGCGACTTTTCGTTTCTTTTTTTTTTCGGCAAATCTATTGACGCAGCAGTTGCAACCTCACACTGCAGGAACACAATGTACATTGACTTCGCGTGGTATGTACTTCAATCAGTAAGTTACATTCACTTCATAATTCGCGCGCGCGCATAAGTGAAGACATGAGAGATTTACGGATTTAAATCTGTTAAACTGTGAACCCGATATAATTCGCGACCTGCGAGAATTACGGTAATTCCAATGGACACACTTCTTTTTCACTTCATTTTTTTTTCTTTTTTTTCGTACAGAACAAGCGAACAAGGCTCCGTCTAGCAAGCATTTACATCTCGACGACGGAGATCTCAAGCCGAAATACATCTACGTCTACAACGATTATTGTCATTATTTTCCCAGAGCATTTGAACGTCACGAGTCGGCGATATGGCCATTTCATTTCTTCAATCCCAGTAGCCATTCGGCCACGCCGAGATAATAGACGGTTTGCGCAATTCCGAATAACGGCGCTATGACAATCATACGGCAAGCACCGCCTTTGAAGAACGCCTTCGGACCCTCATTCGTGAATGTTTTCCTACAAAAATCGAGAACAATTGTTTTCGTTTTTCGCGAGATTCTTTTGCGTTTTGCCGCATTTAAGGACGTTACGAATGTAACGTCAGCTCGATCATGCGATAACTCACGTTATGCAGTCTAATACTCCGTTGTACGTTGGTTCACCAGGTGCTTTTTTGATAACTTGCAATCTAGTTTTGATTACGTCGAATGGATTCACCGTTAATGCAGCCGTCGAGCCGGCCGCGCACCCGGCAAGGAATGAACACCAGAACACAGCTAAATGGAAAATATCGCTATTATAGTCAACTTAATCATTCTTAGCTGATCAATTACTCAGGTTCACTTCGGATGATCTATAAATTCGTGACAAGATTCAAGGCAAAACTCTGTTCGCAATATCATGCCCGTGTTATTCAAAGAATCGCTTGAAGATCTACAGACGTGCGTGCGCATAGCATGATTAATTATACCTACGTTAGAATACTTCGAAGAGAGATAAGTTCACGAAAGAAAAAAGGAGACGAAAAGGGAATATCGTAAGGCGGCCTTACTTTCAAGCTTCGCATCTCGAGTTATGGATAGTTCAGGATCGTTGCAGATGGAAGAGCACTTTAGTGTCGAACAATAATGCGGATTATTCCGCGCGCACTCGCCATGAGAGGAGACTCGAAGGATGGAACTTACCTGATCCATCCTCTCGCTTCGGACCGATATCGTTCAGTCTGGCGAATAGAGGGAAGTAAATAACGGAAAACGTCACATCTCGGAGCGCTGTCGCGCCCGTTCCTTGGTACAACCCCAATACACCTCTTTTTCTAAGTAGGTCCAGCGTTAACGACCAAGCGGATACCTTTGGTATAGCCTTACCCGCTGTAACAATAAGGCATTATGGGACTTATATTATACCGTAAAGCGAACCGTCTCGAAACGGGAACGTGCTTCCATGTTTCTCCTGTATGTTTCATGGGCCTCGCGCATGTCGCGCCCGAGTTACATTAACTCTGGCTAGCCACATTTATTTTCGAATTACTTTCAAACGTTTAGTTTTCAATTTTAAATACTGATTATTATTCAAGTTATCGTACAAAATATAAATGGAGGAGGGGGGGGAGCCATAATACCACATTCTTCTCTATTATAAAAAGAAAAAAAGCGTTTTCGGGAAAAAATTCTCAAATTGCTCTGCAAATGCGATTTAAGAAAAAAATAAGGCTCGTTTGTCATAACGGATAACTTTAAAATGAAGAATGCTGATACTTTGAAAAGAAAAATAATATAGTACATGAAAACGGGAAAACCGAAAAACGTTCAGCGATCCGCTGGACCGGAATGTAGCGAGCTATTAATTACGCCACTTCACTACTTGCATTATCGTACATTTTTAACAATTGAACAACGTTTATCCGATCTGACAACATGGTTCGAACGCTTCAATGCGCGTTATATTCATCCCGACGTCATGTTTAAACATTGAACCAGATTTTGTAAATGTAGTTGACCGTGAACGACTCGTTAGCATTGCAAAACGTCGCAATAACCGAGATGACTGTTGTTGTCAGATAATGCAAAATCACGAGCGACGCGATAATTCGTGATCACGATTGCAGAACTCGGGCGAGCACCGGCGAGAGTAACGTCGCTCCATTCGCGAGACCAAGTTGAGGAATGTCCTTAGGAATATTGAACTATTCCACATCACCTTCTTTAGCTGCCATGGCAACTCTGCCAGCGTCTTGCATTTGTATTTTGAGCAGTTCCATCGGAGTGGTAATGATTATTTGGCATGCTCCTGCCAAGCCGCCGGCGAGCATTTCACGTTCTAATGGCAATTTTTGTCTGGACAAAAGATCAACAGAGTACGGATGTATCACGCGGCGTCGCTGTGAAAATCTCAATCTTGCGCGTATGCGACAATAGGACCGGCACGATTAATCGTTCTTCGAAGAGCCGAAGGGAGATCGGGAGGCATTCGGTTGTTCGAGATAATCGACGAAATGTGCCGGTCCTAATGCAGGGGAGATCATTCAACGCTGGTGGCATGATCGCGCGATAAGCAATGATGTGTCAAGCACTCGGTGGACCGCAGAGCATCAAAAACACATTGGCAAATGAAGCAAACCGCTAACTGTTAATTTTATCACTGGCGAATGACTTATCATTCCAATCGGAAGTGTAACATAATATGAGTTTCTCACGTGAGCCGTCAAAGTTGTTTGCTACATATAACAGGAAGTATTAAGACTTATATAAAATAAACGACAGAGCGCTTCTAATTATGCGTATAAATAAGTGTATGAGTATCTGTGTGTGTATGTGCGCGTTTATGTGTCACTCTTTTGTTGTGGCTGTTCTGCAGAGTGTTTTTGTAAGGAAGAAAAGGGAAAAGCAAAAATTACCCTCCTTTCCTCGATTGCTTGCGACTTGGTTAGCTAGTTATGGTTGCTCGCACCGTTTGTCAGGTCATTTAACTCGGAAACAATATTCAAATTGGTAGCTTCGGTATTGTCTAGAATTATAGAACGATATATTTCAATATGCCTTCCAGTGGGGAAAAGAATCTGGAGTAATAGCACGAGCCCTACTTCTGGCACTACTTTTAGTCGGTAACATGTCTTTTAATCAATATGAAGAGTCCAAATTCAACGTGAAAAAAAATGACACGTTGTATATATTTAAATGTAAAAGAAAGATATAATGCAGTGCAATTTTGCATGTACTTAAACAATGAACGAATTTTACCGTAAAATTTATTCAATACACAACCGTATTAGAAAATGAAAATCTCCTCTCATTATTGATAAATTTTTTAACATAATATACAAGCATATATATATTTTTTTTCATATGATTTACTGGGAGACAATGTCGATGTTAAATGCAAACAATTACATCAAGATAAAGATATAGAAAATTATTAGCAACATAGGCAGGTTCAAATGCTACAAGATAGTTTTAAAACAAATATGATGCTCTGCTGATCAAACTACGTTGTAGAAATGCATTATTAGTTTCTGGGGCCTTCCAATTACGCATATTTTTTAAACGGGATTGTGATTATACTATCATATTATTGACTTAATATTATAAATAAATTCTGAACATTATGATTAAAAAGGGAGACTTTCCGTTGCAACGTGCTTCTTAATTATTCAATAGACATACGCATGAAAATTGTTCAATTATAGCGAATTATATCGACTTAGTTTTCTTAAATAAATTTTTTTTTTTCTTAGAAATGGTAAGACTAGATTGTGGCAGAGCTTCATATCTTTGCATCGCCTATTATTCATACAGTTTGGTCCGATCAATACTCGGCTTCTCTCTCGTTTTATTATTGGTATAGTAATTTACACTTACTAAGGTTTCGTAAAGTTCGTTAATTGAAAACAGAAGCGTGCGCCTGAGGTATTTAATTAACTGTGAATAGATATGATGTTGATTACAGAATAACACTTTGATGCGAGAAAATAGAAGTTAAATGCTTATTCCACGCCAATTTAACGCAATATCTTAATACATTAAAAAATAAATAAACATTTAATATAAATAAAAGAGAATAAGATTTTTTATACCGACAAAATATATTAAAGCACCGTTACGGTTTCACGAACAGTCAATTGGAAAGCCCCTTTAACAAACTTTATGCCGTTAAAAGTCCAATCAAAAGATATCACTCGAAGCGTATTTCATGCTGATATTTGCTGATCCGCTTGCCATAAACTTTGAATAACCCCCTTTAAGATTCGTAAATATTTTACGTGAAAATGATTGCTGTGGAAATTTATAGTAAAATCATATTAGAGAAAGCATAACTGCTTGGCAAACGGCAAGATAGTACGCAAGAAAAGTAAGAAGTGATAAATTATTTGAAGAACGGAAAGATATCATTAATAAGTATTACCATGATATAAGGACATGAAAATTCAATCTACGAAGTGTGAGAGAATAAGTTGTTAATATGGACATTACCTCACAACCATTACGGACTAACTATGAAAATAATGAAAATTGTAGCGTGAATAACGTAGCAATCGAGCGGAGAAGTACGACATGTAAATTGATTTTTCTTTTCGGAATTAACTCCGATAGCGGTGGCGAGATATTATGAGAAATAACAGAAGTGATTAAAATATACATTTATCAAATATATGCATACCGCTAGAAACATAAATTTTGTCCTATCGGCAGATGCTCTTTAAGGACAACAAATAAGAATATCTTTGTGCCGGGAATGTAATGTGAAACTGTCGAAAAACTTCGAAAAAGTTTCCGATCAGTATAGTATAAATAGTCCCATAATAGCTTCCCTGTTTCACAGTGAAACAAATAAGTTTTGATTGAAGTAGAAAAGCTGCCAACTTCTTACGGATTAGTCATTGTTCTGATTAATATTGTACACGTAACGGACGCAAGCTCTCATACCTCTGACACGATATGAAAAATATATATTTTAAGGAAATATCATACGAGACATACCCAGGCCCAAGTGAGAGATAATGTCTAAATGTGTCATTGGCAGTAAGTTTGATAGCCTTCTCGGGAGTGATTAACAATATGTTAACAGCGGATCCCTTGTACATCCCGAAGTAACCTTCTGCTCTGTAAGTCTTTTTAAAACAGTCGAACCTGAAAAGATATTTTGCGTATTTGTTTACAGAAGGCCTGCTTATTCCAATTGCCATATTCTTCACAGCGCTTCTGTTACTTTTTATCAATTATTTTGATAATTAAATGTCTGTTCTCAATAATTAGCTGATATACTTTTAGCTTACGATATATCAAGTTTAATGATAGCCCAGACAGCACAAATTAAAAAAAAAATCTTAACAACACCCAAACGAAGTGTCTTATATTTTAGATATCTTTTAAGACGCCTTTCAGAAATTTGTGCTGTTTGGGATGTACACTTACATTGATTTATACATCCGTTCGCCTTGCGGACCGATAATTTGATTCTGTAATCTCGTTTTAACCAAATCGAGCGGGAACACCACGGACACCCCGATGATTCCGGCAATGCCGCCATTTATGATTTTTGGTACAAGTCTGAAAAAGGGGAGTAACTCTCTCATGACACCGTATTATCTTATTATTTTTTTTTTAATAACTACTTTTCGTTTTTTTTAAATGAGCCATTCAAATGAAATATTTGCGGAGTGATTATTTGATGAGAATAAAAATATCTGCGAGACGTACTTGAATTGATCCGCAGGTTTTGGAGTCGAGCTGTCCTGTGCCATGATTAATGCGAGTTGGAATCCCGCACCTGCCAGAAAACATTAATTTAAAATTATATAATTTCAACGATGTATCCGCGCGAAAAATACATCTTTCGTTTTTTCTAATAGCGAACCGACTTCTCAAAGCAAATATTCGGAACAGATAGCGGAATATCTCGAAATATTTCCTTGAAGGTGTCTTGCGACATATGATCGAGGATGATTTGCCAGTGCAGTGTAGTTTATGCCGTTAGCGCTAACCGTGACGGGACAAGGCCACGCTAAAGAGTAGTCAAAATATTGTGCCAAAACAACGATGGACGTCACAAAACACATTATATGCGTGCCTTATGGCGCATTTGCCAGTGGAATTGTATATCTGTATATTTCACCGAAAATTGCTATAGCGCGTTCAATTGGTCAATCGTCCAAATACAAGTTGGACAAAGGGTCTGTTATTAAAATGCAACGATACGGAAGAGAAATGCTTTAAATAAATTATCACGCAAAGCAATACGACGTAACTCGTAAAAAAAAGAGAAAAAATAAAATGACTTTTATCAATAAGACGACAGTAAAATGATCTTTATCTTCCTAAAGTGGAATGCTATTTTAAAAGTCCTTCGTTTATCAAGAAAATGGAAAAGTTCTTTGAAATTCTCGAGTCTAGTGATAAGTGTTTATTTCCGCGACCATTTGATTATGTATCTCAATATGTTCGTACCGCATTGGAAATCTATTCCTTTCGAGATTGTAATATCAATTGATTGGCCTTTCGCTCGTCACGTCATAACGGGCATTGACATCCTATATAACAGTATTAATCTATGTGAAGCTCGTCATGCAGAATGTTATCGCCTTATCGATGACGCGTCTGAACATACGTTCTGACGTACCTGCGAACGCGCAAATCGTCAATCTCGCAACCAAGTCAAATTGGTTTCACCCTGCTACTTCTCCCAACGTCTTACATAACGATTTAGGGACAGGGGTGGAATAGGATCGATCTGACAAACTTCGATTAATTCTAACTCAAATGGCACTACGTTCTGCGCACAGGAAAGAAATAGTCTTATAAATCAACAATAGATTGGAAGAAAAGAAATAGTCTTATAAATCAATGATAGATATTCTCACATTTAAACAAGAATATTATAATATTCTTAGATGATTATTAATTTTGAATTTAGTACTAGTAATATTTGCATCACAACACGAATTCAATCGAATTAAGACGAAAAATTTGCCTAATATTATAATATTCTTGGTTATACATAAGAATATCTGTCGTTGATTAAAGACTATTTTTTTCTGTTTTTAATCTTCCGTTAGTCGCCTTATATCTCATAAATAACACTAATTTCCCTATTATTTTCGTCTGCTTCTTGAAACACATTTTTCCCTTTTATCGGAACTTGGCTGATAGACCATTAAACCATTAGCTAATAACTGTTAAAGTACATAAGAACAGTGAAGAACAAAGAGAGGAAAGAGAAACCAGTGCCAAGGGCGAATTCGATCCTGAGACGTGTACAACGATGATACATTGTAGCTTGAACATATTATATTTATTGGATATTGCGATTAATGTACGGTTAAAAGAGATACTGCTAAGTAATCGGAACGAAGAAATGAAAAAGTCTTGAGGAAATTATCAAGACTATTGAACAACTATCTTATCTGCTTCGATAGTTAGCTGGAGGTCAGATAGGAATAACCTGAAGACGGATGGATATTACTTTGAGATGTATTCAAGAAGCCACGTAGGAACTTCGGGAATCGAATATGCAAAATGCAAGTGGACAAAAGCAGGAATGCGAGCGGATGAGACTGGATTGTCATTTGTCTGAGCAATCCATACGGAGGAAGCGCAACGAGAAATGAAATATAACGTTTACAGGTTATGTTGTAAAAAAACAGACCGAGCTTTTCCCCGATTAAAGGCGCTAAGCTGACTGAACACCTTGCCGACGTTCGTCGCCACGCGGGGAAAAGCGCGTTTCCGCGCGGGCGGCGTGCGAAATTCTCACGAAAAGTCGCGGCCGTGGCAAAATTTGCCCGCGGCAAAATCGCGCGAGGCAGTGAAAATAACTCGACCGGTCGCTCGTGTCACGCGTTACGGCACTAATGCATCCGACCTTTAGCATCGTATCATGTTAATTCCATTATTACGTGTGCGCTGGAGCGTGACGCTCGGATCGAATTTTCGCGGTAGCCCGATATTTCGCGCCGAGGAGGATTCGGAAAAGAGGAGAGACAAAACGAGTCGACGAGTTGGCGAGCCACAGCGGCTCGACGTAACTCGGAAGGAGATGCATACAGTGGGCTTTCCACTTACCGTCGAGGCGAGCCAATACACACGGTGTGGTGTCGCGGCGGACCGCTCCCGCGAGCTGCCTCAGATCACCGACGAAATGCTGGAGACTTTCGATTAACTACACACTAACGGAAGAGTTCGCGCGTCGGCCGGTTCCGCCAGCAGCATCAGCGGTGGTCTATCAATAGCGCTTTTGACAGGAACTGCTCCGGACATCAAGACCGCTTCTCTACACGGCGCACGCAGAATCCGCACACGTTCGCAGTGTGGCCGTTCACGGGGATTCGAAAGTCCCTCTTCGACGGTTCCCTCGCTTCTCCCTAGATCCCCCAGATCTCTCTAGTGGCTGAATGGCAGGGGAATGACGGGAACGTCGTTACGATCGTTTCGCGATGGGTCGTCTTCTGTTTCAGAGTGCACCTCAGTTCAGGATTCTGAGCAAATCCTGTCTCAAGTAAACTTTTCTTTGCATCTTTTTAAATATCCGGACTTAAAGGTATAAGCATCTTAACCCATTAACTGCTAAATGTTTTTTTTGAAATTTTTGGCCGGATAAGTTATATATATGCACAAAAAGTTGTGTAACAGTATGATTAAATTCAAATTATGTTTCTTCGATCCCCAAATAGGGATCGTGGCAGTTAATGGGTTAAATATGGGAAAAATGAGAGGAAAAATGGGCCTGCATGCGTTTATAGACTACGATATACGCAGGATGGAATTTTGTCGCGCTCTGGCTATCTGCCGCAAGGACTAATGGATTTTCCCCGAGAGTCATTCGACCACGAGCGTAGACTGGGTTTTTAATCGGGGGGTAAAAGCACAAATTTGTCTTCACACATATTTTATTATTATTTACTTCGAAGGAATTCTCTTCTGTGTAACTAAAAAACACGCCATTATGTTATTTCACTTCTCATATATCAATTATATTATTATGTATTTTTCATATATATAATTATATATTATTATATATAAGCATATTATATATATGACGCTTTATATATAATTATATTTGATTATACATGACAAATTTTTTGCCGATAGATTGTAATATATCAGTTACATTTCTTTATTTTTGTGGTTTTCATGGTATAATTGTTCCTCTCTTGTCAAAATTTAAAAAGGAGGCAAGCATTCCAGTCTCTGCCTGGCTACGACCATGTAAATGATCATTCTGTCCCTCATATTGATAACAAAGAACTCTCGAGGGGACCTTTTTACGAAGGTTTTTCAGGGGATTTGATGGAATGCTGAGAATGCAGGTGTATGAAGTAACAATGAAAACTTCGACTCAAGGGGCACGTATTGTTTAAGAAATATTTTCAATATGTTTTATAAACGATAGTGAAACGTTCACGTTTCATACGTTCAAAACGTTTCAAAACGTTTTATAAAACGTATATGAAACTAACATGCGCTACCAGAGAACCTTTCGATGAGAACCTTCGCGTTGGAATTGTTTCTCGAGATTTTTCTACGTAAATTTTGAGAAAAATTCCGACTCCTCAAGTAAAGGCGAACCCTCGGGATGCGTTCGAGGAGACGCTATTTAGTGCTATCGCGTTATTCTGTTTTTATTGCTCTTTACGTGTGCAATAAGGATAGAATGTGCGCTAAATAGTGTCTCCTCGAACGCACTCTACGTGGCCGTCCCTGACCGTGTTGCGCGCGCATCCTCACACGGTTCCCAGTTTGTCGTAGTGTGCGTGCACGCGCGATCAACGCAGGCTCACAAATTCTGTTTCCTAGCAGAAACGATCGACAGAGCACGAGGAGCGTGCGCGTAGTGTCGTGCTGCTAGGAAGGACGAATCTGCGTTACCTTCGTGTGTCACGTCGAGCGTGTAATAGACGAACAAATCATCGGGAACAAGACTGCATTTAGCTCAAGTGACAAGTCCTACGTGTTTACGCAATTAAGACGTAAGTAGATTATATATATATATATATATATATATATATATATATGTGTGTGTTTATACCAAGTACCATAAAATACCTCAACCGACATCGTAATGTGGCATGAAATGTGCTTCTTCTCGCGATCGATGACTGACAGCTTTACGTAATCCCTCGTATAAGCTAACTGTAAATCGAACGAACGCTAGGCGCGATCGGCAAGCGTCGAATGTTCACGTATCTTTGATGTTTTATGTCATAAAATGCAATTATATCTCGTTGCGCGTGCATCGTACTACTTTGTTTGTAAATAACTTGCTGCTTCGAATACGAAAAATACCGTATACGCGACGAGCTAATTATAATGCTGATACCTTTAAACGTTCTCCACATAAGATACATTTCGCCACATATAGAATTGATTTAAATATCGTGACACAACGTGATACAGATAGTGTTTTCGACTCACAAGTCGGCACAAACATCATTTGTTCCGCATTCAATGATTAACAAAGATAGGATGATGCTTGTGTCAACTTGTGTCATAAAATGGAAAGCACCAAAAGTCTCGAGCTTATTTGTCAGATATCGCTTTGTTAAATACGGATTTGCGTCAAATTGACCTTATTAACATTACAGCAAGATAAGCGAATTTAATTGTCGGCATAGTTAGCATTGAAACTGCTAAAATTATCGTCGTCTTCATTACGCAGTGTTAGCGTTAAGCAGCGTTAAGATCGCAAATTCGTGTGGTGCCTTTTTTTCATGAAATTTAAAATTTATTTACAAAGAGTCAAGTACAAGTTTGATGTTCGAAATAATTTCTATTATTTTCTATGACTTTAGCTATCAAAATTAACGAATATATATAATTCGATTTCTCTCATTTAAGATTATAATATACAAAGTACACAATAAAAAACATTTTGTACTTGTATTAAAATCAGGCCTTGTTAAAATTTGGTGTTAAATTGTTAAGGTTTTCATGTGTGTTAAAATAAAACACATTTCTTACTTCACATTATTACTTTAGTGTCGATTAACGTATTAATTTTGTGTTATTTTTTGACATAATATTTGTATTGCTTTTCAACATATTCATCTTGTGTTAAATTAATACAAAAATTGGTGTAGATTGTTTGGGGTTGTGAAATGTGTTAAATTTGATACCAAATCTTTTACTGTGCCTCACGTGCCGGTCTTGTCTCTGCACAGCAATTCGTTTTTAAAATTTTCCACGTTATCATTAATTTTGTGAAATTTTATGAAACAAATTTTGTGTCGGCCGTTTTAGTCGTCTTTGCAATATCGTGTTTGTTATTTCGAAACATACCGGAAACCAAGTTTTACTGCTTGCACTGGAACATAGGTAATAAAAAATAAATTTATGATACCTAGTTTTAGTCCGTTATAGTAAGGCTGTAGAGAGATTTTTCATTTTCTTCCGAGAATTTGTTGCGCAAATCATTTGGTTCAACGGATAATTTTGGTTTCTTCAGGCAATATATCCATTTGGAGAAATTAGAAAGTAAATCTTTTTTATTGTATATTTTAACAATTTAACATTTTAAAAATATATTCCCGAAATGGTATGTTTCGGTTGAGAAAAATGACGGAGCTAGAACAGACATTTCCGCGTATTTTCCTAGCTTCTTTTAGAAATTGAGTAGATATGAATTCGGTTGGGATGAAAGAAAAAAAAAACTAGTGAATTTTTATGTTTTTTAAATAATAAACGTGGACTTCGTAAAGCTAAACAAATAAAGATATAAGGAGGAAGAGAAGCCGTTAAATCAACGAATGAATCATGATCACGATGACTACAAATTATAGTTTAACTACCTACTACGGAAGCAACTTCAATTCAATTAGAAAAGATAATTTACAACATTGGGCAACATATTATCATAAAAGTTTACTACAAAAAGTTTACGAATAAAAATTTATCATGTCGCTCCTCGAACGAGCTTCGACGAGCTAATGCGCTTGGCGTCTCCCGGAAACACCAGGCATATTATTAGTCGATTTCAGACCTGACAATGCATTTTTTAGAAAGACTTTAGAAAGATAAAGAATTCTATTTTGCAGATAATGGTCTCTATATCTATTTTGCAGATAATGGTATCTCTAAGAGAGATAAGTATTAACCATCAAGCCAAGGGCAGTTTTTGCAGTTTTTACGAAACGCGAAGCGCTTTAGTATTTTCAAGCGTGTAATGTTAACATAACTTTTTTATTTCATATTAACGTTCCAGAACTACATACGCAAGAAGAATTAAATTTTGAAAAGATTCGTTAGGATAATATTCTCTTTAATATAAAAAAGCAAAAGTACACAGAAAAAAATTCCAGCTCGTGTAACAGAATAGAATTCGGAAGAAAATTCGGGGACGAGAAACAATATCTCTGTCATTGCGACCGAAAACGGTCAACCGAATATTCAGCTGCGTATAAATTTGACGAGATAATTGAAAGCAATTAACTAAGAATAGAAATTTCTTACACGAATATTTCGTTCCTAGAGTTTTGTCTAGATAATAAAAACCCTGTCACACGAAACGAGTTTCCCTCCAATATATAAATATTTTTATTTAAGCCAACATTTTGGGTTTAAATTTAGATATATAAATCTGCGAATATAAACCCCGCTAATTTATAATTGGAATTCTTTTAAATCATTTTTTTATTGAAAATTTCAGGCTACCATGACGGAAATAAATACCTTAAAATGGATTGACTACCTCGTTATAGCAATTATGCTGGGTATAAGCGTAGGAATTGGTATTTATTACAAATTCAGCGGAGGTCGTCAGAAAACCATGGAGGTACACCCCGTTATTATAATTTCTTCTTCTTACTTGGCACTACAAAAAGTCCTCTGTTGGGGGGCCCTACTTTCTCTCTCTTTACATATGCATGTGGTGCGTGCACAGATTGTACCACCTATGCATATGGGGACCTACACAAGTATTTACGCCGGTTCGGAACGGTTAGTTGGAGAGAAGTTTTCGTGGCATGGGAAATACTCTTGGTGTGGTTTGTCAGCCAAGACCATCGAAGAGGAGCGACGGAGCGTATGATAAAAATTTCTCCCCGCTCTGCCCCCTGGGATTGAACCCGGGACTTCTAGCATGATAGACTAGTACGCTGCCTATCATGCCACGCTCGCGTTATAATTTAATATAGTTGAATCATGCAGCAAAAGTACACGAAATTTCAGTTTGTTTAACAAAATGGAATTCGGGTAAAAATTCGGTGATAAATTCGAATTCATTACTGAATTTTTATCTGAAACAATATCCGTTATCGCGGCCGATTGAAAACGATCGACTGAATATTCAGCTGCAAATTTGATAACTGCATTTGATAATTGAATTTGATACATGATATTAATTGAAAGTAATTATCTAAGAATAGAAATTTCAGCAAGAATGTTATCTATGCATTTCTATTAGATCAACTGATGTATAAGTATAGCATTAATATGAAAAGCAAAAAATAATATTTTCGTATTTGTAATATTATGTGTATATGTTTAGCTCGACTTTGTTTCAAGTTAAGGCTCCTGGATAGTCGTTGCAACTGTCTTTATTTGATGACGTCAGAAACGAGAAAACGCTTGCCAAGAATTCCTGCGTTTTATGTTCAAATAAAAAGATATATAAAAAGAAATATAAAAATATCTATATAAACGCTAAAATTCTTGACATGCGTTTTCTCGCTTCTGACATCAAACAAGAATAGTTGCAGCGACTACTCAGGAGCCTTAACACTTATTATTTAAATAGTGAAATAAATATACAGAAACGTAACTTTGCTCGATAAATTTATATGAATGGTTTCTTTAATGTACCACCGAAAATGCGATACTCAGTTTTACAACTTCCTTATTGACACTGTCCTCTTCTTTTCCGATATCTCGTACGCAATAATAAATAATTATCTGTACAGGAATATTTCGTCGCGAATCGATCAATGAACATTATACCAGTTGCTGTTGCTTTAGTGGTATCTTTCATGTCTGCCATAACATTGCTCGGCGTGTCCGCGGAAAATTACATATACGGGACGCAGTTTGTCGTAATAAACGTTTCGTACCTGTTGGGCACACCGATCGTATGCTACGGATTCCTACCAGTATTCTTCAAATTGCAGGCGACCAGTGCCTACGAGGTAAGACGCACAATATTGGGAAATACCGCTTACAGCCGCAGAAGGTGGCACATGTTTGAAGATATTACTCGTTTTAGTACTTAGAAAAGCGTTTCGGAGTAAGAACTAGGATGATGGCTAGTTTTGTTTACTGGGTTCAACTGCTTTTGTACTCAGGAGTGGTGCTTTATGCTCCTTCTTTAGCTTTGGAAGCGACAACCGGAATACCTAAGGTCCCCAGTATCATTATTATCGGTTTCATCTGTGCCTTTTATTCGAGTATAGGCGGTATTAAGGCTGTACTGATAACCGATGTGTTTCAAGCCTTACTTATGTTCGTCGCTGTATTCGTTATTATCGCCATAGCTGCGAGAGACGCAGGGGGCTTGAAGCAAATATGGGAGATTGCGTATCAAGGACAGCGAATCGAGTTTGATAGGTAATTATATAATTATATTTGCTCTCTCTTATCGGCCGTGTTAATTTAAGCATTCGACTCGTAACAATATCTCACTCACCTAACTGTACTTTCGTTCCAGCGTGTCTTTGGATCCAACAGTTCGACATACCTGGTGGTCCCTCATTATCGGTGGTTTGTGTACTTTCTTGTCAATTTATGGTGTAAACCAAGTGCAAATACAACGTTCGTTGACCGTGAAGTAAGTTTACGATATATCGCTAGATTTGGCTTCCGGCTTGGACACATGTTTTTTCGCCGAAATGTTTCCAATATTTTGTTATGTGTTGTGTAAATAATAATTGCGTTTAAACGGCGATATAAAATCAGCTTGGAAACGTCCATAGTTTGCGCCTGCACGCTTGGCATAAAATTGGTTTTATAATTTTCGATGTTGTAATAACTAATGTTATAAATATATGTGTAACTTCATTAATAATTACATTATAACTATTTACATAAAATATGTAGATAGAGAAAATGGAATTATATATATATGATAGTATGTTAAGAATAATATCACAATGGCTACCAAAATTTTTATATCCTGAGAAAGAGAGAGAGAGAGAGAGAGAGAGAGAGATATGTATTTTTTATTTTTTTTATTTTGTTTTTTTTTCATAGCAAGTAAAACGATAATATATTTATAGAATATACTCTATTGTTGTTCTTCTATTGATGTTGTGTTTACTAATTACAAGGAGCTATATTAAAAGGAATGCTTCTTTTCCAGAAACATAAAGGCTTCGCAGAGAGCTTTATGGTTATCTTGGCCTATTCTAACAGTCCTGTCAATCACAACTTGCTTCTCAGGACTGGCGATATATAGTAAATACCACGATTGCGATCCATCTCTACTGAAAAGAATTACTACGCCAGATATGCTTATGCCTCTATATGTTATGGACACGATGTCGGATATGCCTGGCTTGCCAGGTCTCTTCATTTCAGGTAATATATCTGCATTGCAGGAGTCCTATTGCCTCGTATTCGAGGCGTGGTGACCTCTCTCATATGCCTGTGGTGCGCACGCTGATTATACACAGGCATATTGACCCTACAGTGTAACGCCGGTTCCGAACGACAGATTTTTAAAGAGGCGTTCATGGCAAAGATACTCTCGATAGGTTGCCACTTCTTTTCGAGAGGAGACACGAGCGTAAATATTTTGGTTTTTACCGGGATCGAACCCGGGACCGCTAAGCACAAGTAGACCAGTGCGCTGTCTGCTGCGCCACGATCTATATTTGCATTAATATAACATTAATTTTTTCTTAACTTCCTATATATTTTCAGGTATTTTTAGCGCTGGCCTCAGCACGATCTCGGCGGCTTTGAATTCTCTAGCAGCGGTAACGTTAGAGGATTACGTGAAACCTGTGTTCAAAAAGTATACCGATCGCGAACTCTCCGCCAAGAGATCAACCACCGTCGCTAAACTGCTCGCTTTTATGTTCGGCATTCTTTCCATTGCTCTGGCGTTTTTAGCGCAACTACTAGGTGGAGTTCTTCAAGTGAGTATCGGAGAAGGTGTCGTAAAAAATAAGAAACAAGAAATATACAGAAGTAGAAAGTAGAATCAATTAAGACGATGAGTCTCCCCTATTGTATCACGTGTAAAGGCGTTGAGATTTGACGTCGGTAAAGAGATTTTCTTTCGTTACAGGCTGGTCTGACTATTTTCGGAGTGGTCGGTGGACCGTTATTAGGCGTCTTCACGCTTGGCATGGGCACGGAATCGGCGAGAGAAGGTGGTGCTCTTGCCGGTAGTCTAACTTCGCTCGCGCTCCTATTCTGGACAGCTTTCGGACAACCACGTCCTATACCTCCTTCATTACCGAAAAGCGTCGAAGGCTGTATCACGAGTGAGTTCGTAAATGCGACTATTTTAGGAAACATCACATCAATGGCAGGACTCTCTGAGTGAGTATCACTGAATAGACGCGCTGTGTAGTACATTGTCAGTCACAGGAAAGTTGCAACATTTTTTCTCCTTTCAATGAGTTTCGTGACGCTTCTCGTATTCAATATGAAAATGTATTTCCTGAGAATGATTAGAAAATAAATTTTCCCGTTGCACACACACGGAATGTGTTTCGAAAACTTTTGAAAAAATAAGTGTTGCAAACTTTTTGTGACCTACCATAAGCTATACGCAGGATGCATCGTTACTTGTTCGACTACTTGTTATGGTTTTCTCTTCTCCTTTTAGAAATACCGACGACAGCTCGTACTTCTATCTATACCGCATTTCGTATATGTGGTACTGTCCCTTAGGATTCGTATTAACGTTCGTATTGGGCTTGATCGTCAGCAACCTGATTCACTTATTCAAGAAGGACCAAAAAGACGACTTAGATCCTGACTTATTCTTTCCTATCGTAGCGAGACGTATACGTTACAGACAGCGTACCGACATAGCATTCAACGATATAACGAATCAAGTGCTGAAAAGGAAGAATTCTCTCAGCAACGGAAATTGCGAGGACGACGACAATTTCGGTCAAGTTGGCGTCAAAGTTTAACGGTTTCTTCCTTTATTTTTAGGTAATAGATATTAGACATTCCGTACTTATAAGCGGAATTTAACTCCATTTATAATAGTATTACGTAAGTCAAAAAGTTCGACTTGATTGTTAATAGACAATATCATGCATTAATATAGATAATGTGTGTGTGTTGATGCGTAATATAGGTAATGTGTGTTGATGAGTATTATAAGTTTTTTTATATCTTGATCGATGGATAAGTAACTCGTATTTCCATCGAATATAATGAACTCAAATTTGGCTAAAATCGACCCGAACTTTTTGCCTAATTCAATATTTTACTAGGGTAAAAAATTGTAGGAAAAAAAACATATTATTACTATTTCATGGGACCTGAATGAGGTGAAGTAGTGGATAATATTTGGTAAAAGACTTTTAGCGAATTTTTTTATTTACAATTTTAGGATATAGACAATTCACCGGATTTGTGTACACAATTTTTCGCGTAATTGTACAATTAGTTTAAACTATTTTCGATAAACTTATGACAATTTAGCAGTTTCATTACAAACGTCTTCCACGCTGCGCTCGCACTGCCACTTTGTATTGTCGATGATTGATACTTTGTGCGAAATGTGGTTAGCGTTCATGATGAAACGTGTGTATTTTTGGCACAAATTTCACAACGAGACATATCTAAACATGCGTAGTATTTTACCGATGACTTTGCTTTGTGTAGAATATAACACTCATAGCTGTGTACTTGAAGGAAATCTACCTCTTATCGAATTTGGACAATAGTTAGGGTTATAAGATGGTGGAAAACTAGATTTTAAACGTATAATTTTATATTACCCAGTAACGGCTATAATATCTGACTTTACAGAGAAAGAGATTGAAATACGTCATGCAATTCTCTGTAAATGAAACTGTTTTCACATATTTGAACTGGCAGGGATTATATTTACTCGAAGATGACCTTATTAGAAACTTGACTTATTTTCACAAAATAATTTAATGATACGACGCGCCTACCGTGTGAAACTTGTTGCTATTATCTGCATTTAAGAGCTCGAATGTATTATTATGATCTTGTGAAAAAGATGGAGGACGAGACACTCTTTATTTACAAGAATTTGTCTTACAAGTTCCTACAAAACTTTGTACTGCGTGGTATCGCCGGGACTATAAATATTTAAAACCAAATTTTCATAGGAATAAATAACAACGATACCATAGTTGGTACTTAAAGAACATATGTACAAAAATATGTTCATTTATATACACATGCGGTTTCTTTAGCGCGAATGCAGCATCGGTTGAATAAATAACCCTTGTTATATAAAACAAAGTCGTTTTATCGTTATTCCACACGGCGTACTTGACGGTGGATTATAGATGCGCATTATTTCATAATAACAGTAATCCATGTTTCGTTGAAACGCGAACAGGTTGCGATATCATCGTTACAACGTAGTCAGCAAGAAACGACACGTGATTAGCTGCGGGTATAATCTTGAAATTACGGCGGAAACTTACACGATGATTTCAACAACGCTCGGCTACGAATTTCTTCTTCGGATTGTCGTAAGCTTGCGTTTGGAACTTTCCCTTGCTCTCTAAAAATGCCAAGGAACTTCGAAAATAGTAGTTATTCCTACATATTTCGGTATATTCTCATCTCATTATATAATCCATAGTTGCAAGACACTCGACTCCCGGCATGCTCGATGAAAGTGAAAGAGATTTCTCCTTACTCTTTTCCTCGATTCTCCTCGATTTGCGGCCGTCGGGTCATGCTGGGATCCGATGTTTCTCATATTCTCGCCGACAGAACGGCAAGGAAGGCGCAACCTGTTCCCATGCGAAAAGATGGCACACATGCGACAGCATGGTGGGGAAGAAAGGAAGGTAGCCGCGGAAAGCTTCTAGTTCGTCCGGATTGACACGCCAGATTGAACCAACGTCGGCCAGTTGAAACCAGTTTCAATTTATGCGAGTCCGCCGGACCGCCGATCGACGGGGCTCTATGGGCCCTTTTTAATTATTTTTCCACTGAAACACGCCGACCATAAAACATAGCGCGTGTGCTAGCGGCACGTGCAATTCCTTCCTGGACCGGGCGACGTTCGTTACTGCTTCAATTAAATCATTAGCGCGATCATCCGCACAGCTAATTCGCCGCTCTTTCGCCGCTCTTCGTCGGAGGTGTCAAATGTCCCGACGAATCGTCTCCTTGACACGTGTGTCTCATGAACGCGTGTCCGATTTGACGCTTCTTACTATTCCATCGTAATCTTATCGCTTAATGGCTAACGAGGAGACACGCAGTTAACATGGAATTAAGAAAAAAAAACTTATTAATCTAAATCACTCATTGGCTATTTTGTATCGTTAACACAATATAAGATGAAATGAAATCTGTTAATTGTGAAACTTGACGAAACTCGGATGCATATTAATCGACACCGTCGGGAACAAAGTTGATTTGCTACCATCTTTGTTATGTGCGATTTATATTTGTAGAATATCGACGCACAAATGCGTAAACATGCTATAGCTTATACTCTTCAATTTTCTTCATTCTCTCAACAATCATCACGTCGAATTCGATGAGTTCCGTCCGCAATTTTGATGCTATAACTACTTAATTTTTTTAGAAACATATCCATGTTTCGAAAATATCACGAATTTCCAAGAATGTTCATTGTAAATTTATGTTATTCCATTTGGTTAATGCGTTCGTTTACTATCCCACATTTGAGAAAATATACCATATATTCCATGTATTGATTTCTTATCACCATTGTTATTTGCTCATTCTCACCGTATTATTTGTTTTCGATGTGTCGGCACATATATATCACCTTTATGATAGCAGTTACATAGAGACAAAGTTCTTAGGTTCCGATCGTGTGTATAACGTTAAGTGTAACTGTGTGTGATTTATAATTAACTAAAGGACTCATATTAGGAACGGACTGTGTTATTTCAACATGTGAATCGAGGCGTCACATCAGTCAGCATTGACTGCATACTAAAACTAAATATGCAGTCAGAATACAAAACTTTATGACGAGGTTACTTTGTATTTAAGAGTAAGAGTACAGGATTTGTCTATTTCCGATGTGGCAACGTGATATATGGAGTAATATATGAGTGTATTATCAAGTCTAAACTAATGAAAAGGTGTTTTAGTTTACGCGACATGATTCGTCACGATAACTTCAACCGAGCACATCACCCGGAATTACTTTTTAGATAAATATTTCAAGATTACGTGGCATAACTGTGGAATATTTTATGATTAAAATTTCTGAAAATTAAAGTGCATTGTGTCAGGATTCGTACGAACAAGAGGTGAGTAATAGTTCTTAATAGTTGAAAAATATCTCCTTCGTTATGTTAAATTTTAATGACAGATTTTTTCGAGAAATTTTCGAGCTTGATATTTTTGAGTTTGATATTTTTCTCGAAGAAAAATCGAGCGGAATGTTACTTTCGAGAGAAAAATTTAACGAGATACTGTCGCTTTTACTTATTGGAAATTTTCCGATTGTCAATTTCATGACTTGCATCTCGCGCATACACGTTGATCTTAATAATCTCTCCTTCTTCTTCTCTTTTTTCTCGTTACATAGACCTTGCAGGTCTGTTTTTCCTCTTCCTTTTCCTCCTACATTTGCATGTGCTGCGCACGTTGATTTACACATGCATAGATATTTAATAATCTCTGTTTCTTTCATTTATTGAAAAGATCTATGATTACAGTTAAGTAGAGAAAAACAGAGTAATCTTATCTATTTTTGTGCTACTTACATAAGTATCCTATGTTCGGGACATATAAAAGATTCCACTGAATTCTTGCGTATATAAATATGGTAATATAACAAATATGGTAATCTTCTTTCGTCATCCGCGTTGAATTTGAACTTTGTCTCGCCTTGACTTAGGAAATTCACAGAAATATTCCATGTCGAAAAGACTTCAATGGTCGACTTCACAGTGTATCGCAACTCGCTCTGTTCGTATTGAAGGAGTCGTAAGTGGTTCACGGTATGCATATTAATGCACCTCATTAAAACTTCTTACTGTTCTTCGACGATTTTATACGGTATGATCTGGTTAGATTTGAAAGAGACCGCAGATACAGAGTGTCACGGAAATCGTGCGCTCTTACTGCGAAATAACAGAAAGTTGCGGAAAGTATTTGATAGCAATTACCTATATTCTCGATGTGTCCGAAACTCGATATCTGCGTTTCACGAAAGTCGAAAATTGGAATTAAAAACTCCATTTGGAATTAATTTGAACGAGATGACGCCTAGTTGGTAATTTTTTCGCACGAAATACAAGTAATAAAAATTGAGAAGTCGTCAAGTCGTCCTGTCAACAATTGTCTGAATGTTACAAGCTTTAGATTACTGTTTTAATCGGTCGATTTGCGCAATTTAAATGAGTATGACGTATTCTCGCATCTATTAGAAATCCCCTATCTACCTGGTTTGTTTACCATTCTGTAACCAGTTAAATGTGGACTTATCTGGATCTTGACTTGCTTTTTGCACGTGCTGCGAATTACATTGCATACACACCATTGGCTTCTCGAGCTTCTATATCGCAAACCGATTGTTAAATGACGTCTTGCAAATGTGATTCAAGCATTATATCGAAAATTATATAAGGGCTATTATTTGCTGCAGTATAAGAAGTGATATTCTAAGTGTGGTGCCTCGTATTTGAGTGGAGTAAGCCGTCGAATAAGCGCGATTTGAACAGTGGCGAAAAATTAAATGAAATCGTTCAAGTCGATGCGTCTTTCGTACATTTGTTGTGGCACATATTTGATTAATGATTAGTGATCATTCACGTAAACTAATGCAGGGAATTGGAGTAGATAAGTGTGATGTATGTTGTGAAAGAAAAATATAAAAAGACAACGTGAGAATACGAAGGAAATATGAATATTAACATATTTGCCGCTTCTATTACAAATTATTATAAGTTTCAAACGTTGCTAACATAATAAAAAGGTAATTTTATAAAAAAGAAACGAATAATATTCGCTTTCACTACTATATAACAAAATTAAATATATTCGATATTTATTATATAACAATATAATAACGTCAGTATGGCTGAAAAAAAGTAGAGACCCTATGAAAATGTTTTCAAACGTCAATAAAACAAATAAAAAATTTTAATTTATGTGTGCGTCTCATTATCTTCGTGAATCTCTCGTATTTAAATATTACTTGCTCATAGTTTGGACAATAATTAGGTCCGGGACATAATTCATTAGCGATTTTAAATACATTAGGAACATATAGGATGTTATAATCGAGGACACGTATTTTCCTCATTTTTTGTATCTTTTGTACTTCTCGTCGTCACGCAAGATAAATTAAGCGCGATACAGATTGAAAAAAATCAAATATCCGCTGAACAAAGAATCCGCCCGCATTATTTAAACACGAATATTTTTGCCAAGTTCCCACAATTAATCTTTGATGAGAGTTTTGTCTGTTGGAATGTAGAACTGAAAGTATCAAAGTAAAATTAAAAAAAAAAATCGTTTGTATATTTCCTATTTAAACTAATAACTATTCACAATTTCTTCTCTTTTTTAGTGAAATATATAATATATTTGCAATATTTGAAATGATTCATGAAATACTTATTTTATGAAGAAAAATTCAATAATATAAAAGTTTTATCATATCCTATTTTTAATTTCAAAACTACCCGATTTTGATTAATTATTGCAAGTCTACAGACATGCGGAATTAAGAGGCGTCGGAAAATTACGCATAAAAGTCGCAGGAACGATATGTGGTCAATTATATGATTTATCGTCGACACGCTACTGACGACGATGATTATTGTTACTGTTTTGGTGAGTTGCTCTTGCATCGAAACCAGTCATACGTAGTAGTAGGGGGATGATGGTACGTATAAAGGCGCACACATGACAATTAAAACGATCAGTCTCGAATCCGTACTCTGTTTAATCCGTCGTCCTGAGTTTCTTCACGACGGAAGTCGGAAAGCGGAAATTGTGAGCTCGCGTTCTGTCGCATAATCTCGTGATTCACAATCGGAAACTGCGGATCCTATTAAACGGGACGAGCAATCTCGCAATAGCGCGAGGTTTCGATCGAAGGAAGCTCATCAGCCGATCATATATGCGTTACGTCAGGAAAACGAGCAAAATTATCCAACTGCAATTTCGCACGTTCCTACCTGTTAATAAGCGTGATTAAGCGCTAAAGCTTCCGTTTTGTACATAGATTTTCGAAAGAATTGGGTGATTCGTTCCACGTCTTGAAAGAAGCGATAAAGAGGTGAGATTTAAGATCTTCTTTTATATTCGTAATTGTAAGAAGATAGATAAATTGAAAGTGAATAAAAGAAACATCTATTTCCGTCAAAATTTAATCAATTAATCTTTAAAATTGACGATTTTTCGCCACGAAGTTTCACGTTCAGTTTTGTTGTGCTGACAAGAAATTTTTATTGATATACAAAATAATTAATTTATAATGACATTATTGAACCCTTTTGCATTTATTTATCTTTTATTAAAATATATATTGTACATGTATACTCTGCATATTAGTCAATATATATAACACTGTCTGACGACATTGTAAATGATTGTTACGCCAACTGGTTAACATTTTCCAAGCTTTCTCTACGTGACTATTTCTGTTGGTAGAAAATATTCAAAGTAATTTGAAATATTCAATTCGTTCAATTATACGATTCATAATACTCATTATAAATGGTAAATTTTGGTTGTATACTTGTTATCACATTACATATTTTCAGAATAATTTGATAAGGTTCAGCGAAGTGCAAATATAACATAATTTCGAAATGAAAAATGAGTAAACTTTGCGTCAATAATAAGCGTATATAATATCGTGTAAGCGCAATAATTAGAATGTTGCATGCAATATTTGTTCTCTCAATGGATTATTTAACCAGTTATTATCTTGTTATTATAAATACCGCTTTAACTAATCTGCACTATAAAGAAAAATGATGATAAAATATTGCATGCGGTCCAATATGCCGTGAAAATTTAAAGAAACAATATTATAACAGTAACATATGAGATTACCGCTTATTTCCTGTATCATTCAATTAAAATAGAGTTCGACGTGAGAACTAACCGGTTCTAACCAGAGATCCAATAGTCAAACCGGTTAAAACAGATATTCTAATAATGATTGAAACATAGTTGGTGACGATTGTTATTCCCCAATGCTGATAAATAATTATAATAATTAGAATTATTTGTCTATTATTAAAATCAACATAGATGGTGAAAGGTGTCTTAGTCGGTATATAATATTTCGTTACAAATGATCATTAATTTAAGGATCGAAATGTTGTCTTTTTGTTATTCCTATTTTTTTTCAAATTCAAACAAATGTTGCCCAAAATTATAGTGATAACTTCGTGTAAGCGAAATAATTGATATTTTGCGATTATTAAAATTAATAAAATTATTCTTAAGATCTCCTTTCCTCCTACACACACACACACACACACACACACACACACACACACACACCCTCTCTCTCTTTCTCTTTCTATATTAAAATTATAACTAGGAAACTTTTGAGAGTCAATCGTAATATATCTTCAATATGATTGATAAGATCCATAAGATTCAAGGTGACCGGTCAAATGAAAGAATCAATTGACACGGTGTCATATATCAATTTACATGAATAACGCTGACATGGCTTTAAACTATTTTAAATCACAGAATAAGGACCGAAATAATGAACCGAAAAGAAACGTCCCGATTCTACAGGCTTTATACAATTTCGGCACGGTTTACGATTTCAGTCCGACAAAAATACCGGTTTTTCGTACGGTTTTCGGTTCCGGTTCCAGTCCGGTTCGGGTTTCTGATTTTTACCATTTATTTTCTATCTTAAGTGGAAAGGGAATTAACTAAGTAGACGTGAAGTTTTATGGTAATTATGACTCTGTTTCATCAAGAGAGAAATCCCTTAAAGTAATTGAGTCATGGAACCGGATTTACAGATAGCGATATTAAGGGACCTCTTTATATAAGTTTATTATTTATTGAGAAAGAGACTTTCCTATAACTTTATCTAACTATCTAAGTATTAAATGTTAATTCGGAGCGAAATTAAGACAAATATTTATATACAATATCAATTAATTTTTTTTAATTTTTTTTATTAATGTTTTATTTACGTTATACGTCAGTTCAATTAATTTAACGTCTGTCCAACTAGCCGCACCCCTAACTGAAAATCTTGTTGGAATCTCCTTGTATATCGCGGAATCGGTATCGCAGAAGGATATTAACGTAAAACGTAAAAAAATAATCGGCAGGTCTTATCCAAAAATGCGACCGCATCTTCTCGTCCTGTTCCTCTTCCTGTCTGCGTCGTCTGCGGAGCAGCGACGTGTTAAAAGTGACGAGGAGAAGTGTCACGAGGAGCATCCAACCTTGCTCCATTATTTCTCATGGGCGGATTACGCGGTGCTTGCTACAATGCTGCTGGTCTCGTGTCTGATCGGCACCTTCTACGGTTTCTTCGCCAAGAAACAGGAGACCAGCCAGGACTTTCTGCTGGGCGGGTCCAGCATGGGCACGTTTCCCACCGCGATGTCGTTGGCCGCCAGCTTCATCACGGCTATTGAACTTCTGGGAAATCCCGCGGAGATGTACGGACAGGTATGACGATCGTGACGTTTTGAAATTATTTAAGCAAGTTTCACGCTTTTATTCGCGTTCGAATCGAAGACATTTGAAAATTACACACTTGGATTTTCGTTTTTAACTAATTGGAAACTAATTCGAAACACATATCATTGTTTTTATCTTTCTGCGAGTATTTTGGCAAAAACAGATACTTGTTGTTTTAATCGGAGAGCAATCAAGAACCGAACGTAACGTGTCGTATTTGAATTTTCAGGGTACTCAATTCTGGATGACCTGCGTCTCTTTCATACTCGTGGTACCGATCACCTCTCGCTTGTACCTGCCGGTGTTCATGAAATTAAGGCTGACTTCGAGCTATGAATATCTGCATCTACGCTTCGATCGGCGCTGCCGTTTGCTGGCGAGCGCGTTATACATGTTGCAAATGGTGCTGTACACGTCGGTAGCTGTTTATGCGCCCGCGTTAGCGCTAAGTCACGGTACGTGATCGCACGTCTATAATAAATGAATTAATTCATTCTAAATGCACACACGAATGCATAATAGAAAGTATCATAAGTCGTATTACATCGAATTCCAGTTATAGTCGGTAAGGTCGATATTGCTCTCTGTATTTTCTCTTAGATCGTCCTATTCTGTTTTCAATCGTCTCTTTTGCCATTTAGAGTCATGATAAGCAATCCATTCCTTTAGTCTTGCAACAATTCGTCTCGAGATTAAGAAGTAGAGAGGTTCATTTGCAATTGACACATGCAAATTGACATATGCAAATACTTTGTGCCACAAATCAGATGCGCGTTTCACGGCTGACTTCTTTGACATCTCTTTGAATTAATTATCCTCGCGATAACGCGAATTGGTCGCGTTAATCTTGAGACCCAGCGACGTCGAAGCTGTCAATAACGTTTTCTGATTTACAGTCACGGGCCTGAATACTTACATAGCTGTTACTCTAGTCTACGTAGTCTGCATTTTCTACGCTTCCCAGGTTCGTATCGCCCGCGTGTCTACGTGTAGTTACGCAGTAAAAAATGAAATGTTATGTTTAACATTTTTTTACGTGTCATTTCTTATTAAATATTATTAAGTATGATAACATTCATACTTATTAAGTACGATAAAATTCATAAGGTCTCTTTCCTCTGTAATTAATTCTCCTACACGTGGATGATGTAATGTGTGTGCATCCCTTGCTGTAACAGGGTGGCATGAAAGCCGTAATCATGACCGACACGTTTCAAGCCGCCGTTCTTATCGGCTCGTTGTTCCTCGTCCTGGGTTACGGATTGACTTGGGCGGGCGGGATCACGGCCGTTTGGCGGGAGAACGCGGATTCCGGGAGGATAGAACTTTTTAACATGGACCCCAGTCCGACGGTGCGACACAGCTTCTGGAGTGTCGTCATCGGTGGTACTTTCTACTGGGTCACTATGTTCTGCAGCAACCAAGCGTCCGTCCAAAAGTATCTCAGCGTTGAGAGCATTTCGCAAGTGAGAACGTGAGTTCTCGTATAATAGGATAAATTACAAAATCTACGAAGAGATCGGAGGAATAAGAATTAGCGTGTTTCTCAATTGTGTCAGGCACCCCCGAATATGAAAGATTACGAGGGAAAGAAGACATTTTATATTTCATGGAGATTTTACTCTTCTTCTTACAGAGCACTCTGGGTGTCTGCGTTCGGCATGATTTTAATTTATAGCGTAAACTTCCTGACCGGAATGGTGCTGTACAGCGCTTACAAAGACTGCGATCCGTTGACCGCTGGAGATATAAGCGGCCAGGATCAATTGTTACCACTATATGTTATGAATTTTATGGGAAGTCTTCGTGGTGTGCCCGGATTCTTTGTCGCCGGAATCTTCGCTGCCTCTCTAGGGTATGTAGATGAGACGTAAAGCGAATGACGTAAATCTCCTCAAGTACGTCAAACTCCTCAAAGTACATCGAATTTTTCGTTATATGAAATCATTAATTTCACATGCGAAACGTTCTTTGTAAGCGAAGATGGAATTCGCCTGAAGGGGACTTAAAAGTATCTTGGATAATTTCAGGACCGTGGCAAGTGCTTTGAATTCTCTGGCGGCGATAACCTGCGAAGACGTTCTTCGTGGGCTCTTCCGAATGGAATTACCGGCAAGCAGAGGCGCTATTTACGCCAGATGGATCAGCATATTTTTCGGGATTCTCAGCTTTGCCCTAGTCTTCGTTGTCGAGCGACTCGGTAGCGTTTTGCAGGTGAGTCACGAGTTTTCCCATGCTGCTCGCGAATTCAATTGTTAATTACTAATTGGCGAGCGCAATGTAAATTCTAAATCACCTCGGTTTTACTGTACGACGAAATTTGTATGTACCTCTCACCCTGCTTTCTGCCCTAAAACTGACTTGCGTCTCTTTCCGGAGCATCTGAATTCACGAATCGTCGCTGTTACTTTTGATTGATGCGTTATCAATTATCGAAAGAAATCATCGTCCGCAGGTCGCATTGTCTTTCAACGGCATGGTGGGCGGTGTGACTTTGGGATTATTCTCCTTGGGAATGTTTGTACCATGGGCCAATGCTAAAGGAGCGATAGTAGGTGCTATCACGAGTTTAACAGCCGTTTTGTGGATCGGTTTAGGCGCTCAAGTTGCGGCTATAAACGGGCAGATTCGATTGGATGGTAAACCCACGTCAATCGAAGGGTGTCCCTGCATAAACCAGACCGAATTCGAGATTCTGGAGCTGTCCGAGCCTCACCTTGATAATGAAGTTTTATCCATATACAAGGTAAGACCCTCCCTCTTGATTTTGCTTTTGGTATTCTTGATACGACATTCAACTTCATACGATCGGGAAATTACGCGCTATAGTTTACTATGAAACTTCCTTGATTACTATGATTGTGTTTTACAATTCATTAAAGAGATCACTTATTTCAGTTTAATTTGATATATAAATATTCGAATAAACAGGTAAATATTGAAAATAAAGAAACAAGTGAATAAGTAAACGATAGAAATATTAATGTCATTGCCTTTATAATTTAATACTTCTACAAAATGATATCGCATAACACATGTAGTTCAATATTCAAAAATTAGTACGCAATAGAAATTTATCGGCCACGATTTCGGATTTAACGTAATATCAATATCCTAAAAACATTAAAATAGCCGACGCAATTCATCGCCGACCAGTGTAATTGATTTTCCGACAATTGGGACTATCAATAAAAGATACCGCATGCAATTACACGCGTCAGCTTTCATTGGCCATTTTTAACGATGTCGATTATATATCTTGAGAGTCTCGTATAATAGTTCGATTTCAAATTCAGTTTTCTGCCTGTATTTCTCTTCGTGCGGCCAAAGGAACGCATTTCTCCCGCACCACGTAGTGAACAGCCAATACTGTGTTTTCAGACTAGTTACTTGTGGTACAGCGCGATCGGTTGCATGTTAACTATGCTGGTAGGAGTGATAGTGAGCTTCATCACGGGTGCTCAGAATCCCGCTGACGTCGACCAAGATTTCCTGAGTCCGCCGATTGCTGCCATGTTCCGCATGCAGACGAAGCCTAACGCCGCCATAAACCGGGTGCAGGGTATCGTGAATCTGGGCTTGGAGCCGGATGAAAAGCCCCAGCAAGTAGACACTTGCAAGAGTCCGCAGTGATTCTCCCGCGAGCTTTTGAAAATTCTGAAGGAATCATCGCGAGGAAATGTCGCCATAAAATAGCGGTAACAAAGGCTGGGATACCTGTCCTGAATCAAATATCACTTATAGAATCAAATGGTATTCTGGTTTTAACACGCTCGCGTTTTATACGATGACGATCGAGAAACGATTTTATAGTGCTAACCACGCGATACATGACAGGAAATTTGTTTGTGAAAACAATTTCCACACTCGTTGAAGCAGGAATATTACTTAATAATAATATTGCCAGAATCAAAATCGAGAAGATAGGAATAGTAAGTAAGCGATATCGCCATTTTTTTACAGAGAAGAAACGCACGATTAATATTATTGTCGAAATAATAATGATTTGCGACTGATAATATAATTTGTATAAATATCACGTAGGTGTCCGTGCCAATGATATTTCGCTCATTACGTCAAAGTTACTTTCCATGTAATCGATTATTTATTTCATGAAATATTTCTTGTTTATTTTACATATATAGCAAAATATTATCATAAGAAGATTATTAACATTATAATATAATAATATTCGCCGAAATTAATGTTATTCATTTTAGAAATATTTTGCAATTCAACTGTCATTAAATGTCACATGTAGTACGCGAAAAGAATTGTTTAGACCTAATTTTTAAAATGACCTGATTTTGTATCAGCGATTTTTCACTATGTATTTTTTGCACATCGTATCTCCTTAAGAATTTTCGCACAAATGTAGTTAAGAATTTCAGTATTAAAATTATTTCATTACCGACGTCTCGTGTATCATTCCCCACAACTTATACTGACCAACAAATTTTATATTATAAATTGTATTTATGTTTAATTTTATTTTTTTTATTTATATTTATTATGTTATACTGAAACAGAGAATGACAGTAAAAAACGATTTAGCTATATAGTTCAAGAAATATAGGCTAATTTCTTATTATGTTTCATACTATCAGAAAGATTAAAATTCCTTATAAGTGTTACATTATTAAACGTTTTTTAACGTTTTTTAACTGGAATTGACGGTTTAGTCCCGGGATATAGTGTTTTGTGTCGACACCAGTATTATTAATGAGGAAACGCAAGTCGATGGTGAGACGATGTTATATTTTAAATCAACATTAAAAAAAAAACAGGACCTAAGTAGTATCGTCAGTACCGACCGAATCGGAGTATCGATACCCCATTAAATGCTTAAGTACGAGGCGAGTGTACGTTAACATCGCTGTTACCCCGGCGGGGAGCAGAGAGAGAGAGAGAGAAAGGGAGAGGGAGAACGCGACAGTGAAAGTGGATCAATACATGGCGAGCGCGCGGCTCGTCTAGCAGTGTGCGGATGTTTCTACTGCGAAATCGGCTGTCCGCACGTTCGTAGCGATTGTTGACAGGCTGTCAATTGACAAACAGTCGCGAGCCTCGATTTCGGCGGCCGGTCTTCGAATTTCGCGTGTCACCCGGCGATCGGTCCGTTGGCTTTCATTGAACGAGTGCCGAAAGTTTGGCGTGTTAAACACCGTTCCTCGAGATTCATACGAATCGCGGAAAAGTTGACGGAAAAGTACGTCGGAAAATCGTCCTTCGGCCGTCCCGGAGTGCACGCTTCCGCCGGGAATCGTTTTCCCCGCGGAACATGGTGGTGCGTGTTGCGTGCCGGGGGACGAATCGTCCACTTATCATCGGTGATCGAGGAGCGTCTCGATTATGCGCTCGGCAGGTGTAATAGTGACGGACCGGCAATAAGTCGATCGCGTTGCATGGCGTCCGCGAGAAATCTCAGGCGCATCACGCTGAAAAAGACGGGAGGACGAAGCGGGAATTAGAAAGCGCTGCGGGTCACCGTGTACATGCCGAGCGGCCGACGATGTACCCGTCTCACCTTGTGAGTAAGAACAAAGCCGCTGACATTTCGCCGGAGAAATGTTACCGGACCATACCCAGCGCTTCTTTCTGTCTTCTATAGTCCAATAGTCTTCTGTCCAATTAAACATTAATTTGTGTGTTATTCGTTTCAATTTTTACGCACCTGTTTTCTTTTTTTTTTAAATCATTCATGTGTTCTCTCTGTAAATAAATAGTTTACTATCTTGATATCACGCGTATCTATAATTTCTGTATGAGTATTACTTGTAAGAAAAAGAAACTATGGAAATCAAGTCGCTCCCTTTTCCCCGGAAGATACGAAGAATGGCCTGCAAGCAGGACCTCACTTGCCTGCGATTCCTGCGCTGGACTATTCTGGTGCCGCTCGTGATTTACATCTCGTTTCTGTTCGTCAAGTACAACAGAAACGTGCCCCTGAAAAGTCTATCGATCACTAACGAGAAGGACAAGGAGAGCTCCATGATGGACAATTTGTTCTTCGAATTGGAAGCTGTGACGATGGACAAGAAGGATCTGGCGAAGTACAAGGACGCTGGGATCGATCACAGGGACGACGAAAGCATACAGGAGGTTGAGGAGGCGGAAAATCGCGAAAATCCGAGAACCCTTCTAGAGGATATTTTCCGGAGGGCCGATACTGACGACAACCAACTGTTAGACATTCAGGAATTGGCCAAGTGGATCCACACGAAGATCACTGAACACATAACTCGTGCTATGCGAGAGAACGTCGGCTTGTTCACCGCCATCGACAACAATCCTAGAAACGGTATTGAACAAAAAGAACTAATTATCTGCCAGTAAATATCTATTAGAGAACTATTTAATTTACTCACTGATATGCGCGCATTAATTAAATATGACCGCCACACCGACAGTCAAAGATACTGCATTAAAATAGGGCAGTCGTTTTCCATCTGCAGTATGCGTATGTATCGGGGTTATGCGGAATAATTAGTAGCGGCCACTATTTCACGTCAACCCGACAAAATTAAATATTGATGCAACATATTTCAACATATTACATCATCGTTACAGTATTTGAAATTGCTGCATTTGATACAGAAGAGCGACTGATAATCGCTCGCTAATATGATTAATCATTAAATAACTAGATGGATAAATAATGAAATGGATAATTTATTAATTTAACTGCTTACTTAAATAATTAAACACCCCATCTCTCTCTTTCTTTTCACTTAAACAAGTTTGTATAAGTGTGCGTGAGGGCCGTTCTGAAAAAAATGGAAACTGCAGATTTAAGATAAATACAATGGTGTGAATCGTAGTTATTAATTATTTTTTGATATTTGTCTTAGGTGAGGTGTCTTGGGAAGAATATCACGCATATTTCCTGCGATCTCATGGTTTCTCCGAGAGCTATATTAATTCCCATGATAAGAAACACAGTGAAATGTCACGATCGCTGAAGGAGAATATAATGAGGGATAGAGCACGATGGGCCGAGGCGGCTAGAAATGATCCCGAGAAATTGGCTTTGGACGAATTTCTGGCCTTTACGCATCCTGAGAGCAGTCACAGGGCTCTCTTGCAAATGGTGGAGGATCTTTTTGAAAAATTTGGTAAAGAAAATTACGCGCGTGTATGCTCTGTGTGTGTATATTTTATTTTTTAGATTGTATGAATTATAAGATATTTTTATACTCAAAGTTAAAGAAACTAATTTTATACATTATATTATGTCATCAGAAAATAAGACTGAAAGATAAAAAATTTGATATGGGTATATGTATATATATAGTAATAGTACGATCGTTTTATGGTATCAAGATCGGGACGGTGACGAACAGTTAACGGAAGATGAATTTTCGGATTTGCCGTCTGATGGAGTCGGCCTGGATTTACGTGAGGATCGGCAACAGTCGATAGGAGGTAGCGAAGACAGGCGCAAAGAGTTTCGACATTTGATTGACAAAAATAAAAATGGGAAAGCCGATCGAACCGAGCTTCTAGTGAGTAATAGAACGTAAATAAATAAATAAGCAGAGATAAAGTGCAAGTCAATAAGCGGTGTAGTATTAAATAAGGGGTATTACAAATTGTGGAAACGAATTGCTATTTTTGCAAAATATTAGCTCATTTTTCAAATAGCACGTTATAAGACGGACTAATTATTATTATTATTATTATTATTACATTCCATTTAAATAAAGTAAAATATATAATGTCTATATTCGTCATTTTCTGTATTTTTTCAGCACGTGAATTTTTTAATAAGCTAAGGCGCAAGAATCAAAAATTAATCTAACAAAAATATTTTCTCCTGAATTTTATGATAAAACGTAATCTTTTCTTTAGATGTACATCGATCCACGAAACCCCAGACATGCCATCCAAGAGGCCCAACATTTGATTACTCTGTCAGACACGAATGTGGACGGGAAGCTGGATCTTCCAGAAATCCTCAGCAAGATGGATCTGTTCCTCGGCAGTAAGATGGTAGACACCGAGAGAAGTTTCCATGATGAGTTCCGATAGTTCTCACACGAGGACGAGTAATGTTACATTCGTGAAGAAAACAAAGGCGAATTTATTACAGTCTCATTATCAATCGAAAATCTCTAGGTAGACGGGCGAACGAATAATTCTCAATGACATCGGCTGATCGCGACTTCGATGGAAGATTCAGCAGAAATATTTTTAAATATTCCAAAAGAATCTCACTCGACATTTCTACTGAATAGACAATATGATTTTCCGATCGATAACGGCAATATTAGACCAATATAGCTAATCAATCTATTCGTGCAGGGTATTTACTAGCGATCTCTAACAGATTTTCTTGTCAAATGTTGGTCGTGTATGCCGCGCACACGTGAGAATTATAGGCTTTTAGAACATATCTGTGATAGTCTTTACGACGTAGAGTATCGTTTAAGTAGACACAATTACCATATACTTATGACATGTTGGCAGACTAACGTTACGTTAATTCACGGTAGATAAGCAAATACTCGATCGTTTACAGAGAGGATCAGAGATTATCGATAATTACTTGCCGGTTGGACGATCGACTGTAAAACGGATGAAGGGTTGCGAATCCGTCCTTTCGTAGTTTTCTATCGCGATCTCTCGGCATTTCCCGTGCGACACGTTCGTAAATTATTCAGGAGAGTTGCTTTAGTTCCGAGTGAAAGTCAATGAGAGAACGTATATTCTCCATTTTGGAGATTCCGTTGAAAAACTCGTGGGGATCACATGAATGTACACGCAATTTTTGCGAGAAAAATATCGATTATATTAACACTATGTGACACAATGTTATTGTACAATAATATTGATATTATAACGATAATGTAACATTACAGTAATACGCGAATATGTGTTTGAGTCTGAGGATAAAATGTTGCGAGAAATTTACAAATCTGAAAAATTCGAAGCTGCGTCCGGAGATGTGTATCGGGGATATTCCGGTCGAAATTTGAAGCACACGAGGCGTGCTCGTTTTGTTACAAGCCTCGGGAAAATCTACGAAGAATCCAAATAATTTGATTGCTCACTGTCGATGGAGCGCGTGACGACGTCTCCGTGACGAATAACGGCTTAATCTCTCGTTTTAGAGCGACATTTCGTATTCCTTCGTACACCTTATAAGGATAGAACTCGGTGTTCCTTCGTAGAGAATTTTGTACGCTAGCGCGTTTTTCTATATTGTGATGTGGCGTAATAAAACCTGTTTAGAAACAAATCGTCAGTACTGCCTAATTTCATCTTTCTCCGATATTACGCACCCGGATAAAGATAAAGCTATTACAATGTAACGTTACGAGATACGAGATTCCTAATGAAAAAGCGATATTTTAACGTCTTTCAACAATTTCGCGTGCACGACGATGACGTCACAGAAGTAAATCGGCGACTGTACTATTCAGCCGCAACTGGAAGTAACTTGAAAGTGTACACAGAGAAAAGGATTTCTTTGGATCTAATAAAATTTCTTTAATTGAAGCAAAGTCGCCTTGTAGAACAGAGCAAACAAACAAATGTTTGATTCAGCAAACAGGATTATTCGTTTATCAAACAATGAATATTTCTTTGCGTAAAATAATATTTCAATAATACATTCTTTCAATAAATTATTTGAACGAACGTTATGTTTGAAAATATTGAAAAACTTCTCTTTGTTTCAATGAAATTTAATCTTTAATATAAAATGAATAAATTTTTTGGTATTGAAAACTAAATATTATTTTCTCTAAATAAATAATAACAATACTGTTCTTTTCCGTCAACCAACATAGTTTATTCTAGTGAAACAACAATATTTTCGTTCAAGCAAAATGATATTTGATATTAAATTGTGTTTATATTAAACGAACTCAAGTCAAACAAACACATATTAAATCCAAAGAAATCTGTTTTCTATGTAGAGAGCAAAGTTTACCGTAAAACTTTCATGAATAGATCCAAAAGAAGCATTAATTGGAGACGCTATGTGAAACGCGTTAAAGAGAGCTCTCTATATTTTTAATGCTATAGCAAAATGTAGCATAATGTAGCAAAAGCTAGGAACAAACTCATTTTGTGACACGCAAAGAGCGTTCTCGTAGCTTCGAGCTTCAGTGGCCTTTTTCAAGAGCGAGTAGAGGATGACATCGAGTAAAAAGATTACGAGAAGTCACATGTCCAGCCTCTTTCAGCCAAGGATCTCAATTGCAACACATCTTCGCAACCTTCGAGCTTGGCCGCTTAAGCTTTGTTGCACACACGCTTGAACGTTTGATTTGCGTCGTGATAATTACTGGTGTTAAGGGCCGACTTTCGTCAGACAATAAGCGCGCAATTTCGTTGGCTAAGGTCAAGGTGCATCGGATCGCTTCCTCTGACGTAAAGAAACTCTTTCGCGATTAGCAAGCCGGATTTTCACCCTTGCAAAATAAGGTGCGTCTAATCATATGGCCAGGGACTGTACGAATCTTGTGCAAGGTTTGCATAAAGAAGAAAAAGGTAGTAAAATTTATTTGTGATTCATATGCCAACGATAACAGAAAATTATCGTATCTTCAATTATTGCACCTTGTCCTCAACACTATCCCGACTTTACCGAAGTCAAAAAGCTTTTTGAAAAAAAGCACGTCAGACTCACGTCAGACTTGTCGAGCGAGCGCGTTCTTATTTGAAAATTCGGTCGCATTCATTGCGACGTAATGCATTCGACTGTGTTGGTCCGTGAATGAAAATCCGTCTCCTCCAGTCGGTAGTCCGAGCGTGACAGCTCCACAATCCAAGGAATTATTTGAGTGCGAGGCTGGATATCGGATGCCGAAGGATTCAGGTAATTGGTATGGTCAGACGGCCGTTCTGAAACGTGGAACAACGACATTTCTGTAAGAATATCCTAATTTTCTAACTGGGTGTACCACAAATTTGCAGGGCGTACATAAACATGAACAAGTAGGTACGAGCGAGGAATTTTTTAATATATATATTCTTTCGAGGTGAAACAAATCGTGCGCATTTCTTTCGTAAAAAAAAAAAACACTGAACAAATAGTTAATAATGAGAAACAAAAATACATCAAAAATACACGTACACATTTAATTTTTTGGTATTGTAGCTTTTCTAGAGGTTTACCGAAATAACAATCGGATACATCATTTAATCGGTTTATCCGAGGAAAATTTTTCTCAATAAATTATTCAGAGAATATGTCGTCGTTTGGAACTGTGTATCTATTGCCAGCGCGGAATTCTTGACTAACTTACTCGGGAACCTTAAAGTTGGTATTACATACGTCATACAACGAGCATTATCGGGAGTTGACTGTTGTATAGATAATTTTAAAAGGCCGTATATTTTTTTCTAGACACACTAGAAATTTTCTATTTGACCACTAATCGGCACATCCGACAAACTCGTCGTACGTCGTAATACCAGTCTTGCAGTTGGAGAAAACGTAATCTACAATAGGCAACAGGAGTATGTTCGTAAGAAGTAAGAATAAGATATTGACCAATCATATTTGAGTGTAAGGAGAATAGTCGATTATGATTGGTTAATTTCTTACTCTTGCTTCTTGTAAACAAGGACCACGTTGAACATTGCTCATTTGACCCTCATATTTCGGTACGGCAACTCGTAAGTATTTTCAAGGAAGGTTTCTTAGTTCGCCTTTGGTATTTTCTATTCATTCTGCTTATATTTATTCGTTTAGCATATTTAATTCCCGTATAACGCGTTCATACCTCTTTTCTTTTGCTTGATTTGCGAATGTTTAATATCATGATTCAAGGTAATACTGTACTTATTTATTATAAAATACTATTTAATTATATAAATTATATATTTATATCATGAAATGCGTGTGATTTTGCTATTCTATTAACTACTTGTCAATATTTTGGCATCATTATATTTATGATCTTAAGCTTAACAAGTAGTTAAGAGTAGCAGAATTACACATATATCAGGATAAAAATACATAATTAATTTTTGCGTACAATTATTAAGTATCATTATATGTATAATTTTAAACTTGAAAGCAAACATGACTATATTAGTACAAAGGTTTAATTGCAATATTAATGTATCTTAATGGCATTATGATGGACATATTTACACTTAAAATAAATATGTTTACTAATAATATATTACTTTAATGTGTATTTTCAATATATACCTATGACATATTATCTTCAAAATATCACTTTACTTATTATATTTTATTTACCTGTCACATGTTTATTATCAATTTCATAGGCTCTATTCGATGGCAGTTTAGTGACTGTTTTTAGACATTATGCGCATAATTGGAACTGCTACTTCAGCTCCAACTACTGTATATAATAGACGAATTTCATATTCTGTTCAACAAAGTTCAGTACTTTATCTTCAGCAGCCGAGAAACATGGATATGCATAAACACGGTTTATGATATCTATGTCGGTTTTAGGGCTTTTCCTTTATAATACCGGCGATATTGAAGCTCAGGTCGCGATATTGAAGCACGCGCGAGAACAGGAAAATGCATCGCTAGGTCATGTTCTCTTGCAGTTAATTAGTAAGTTAATGATGTTAATCGATCGCCGACGATCAAAAAGCATTTTTCCACAAGTGCGTGTCCATCTTGTTGATTCACATGCTTCCGGTAATACGAATGATTGATATTCATGTAATCAGCCAGAATGCAATTAGTATGCAGTTGTATTAATGACAATTACATATCAAGCGGCTTTCATTCGCAGTCATCGTCGCATATATTCGATGATGATACACTGAGAAAAAGAATTTTTCATATCAAAAAATATATTTTCTTGAAATGCAATTTTTTGGTTGAAATAAATCTTTGCGTCTTCTAAAGAAATATTTTGTAATTTTAAATAAATGATGACTTAAGTGGAATCAAATTTATAATTTTTCAAAATTAAATATTAAATTTTCGTAATGAAAAATGTTTGTTTGAAAATAAAAATATATTTATTGTGATGTAAAGATAAAGCTATTTTAAAGCAAACAGCTAAAGACAACCAGTTTTACTTTCTTTTAGACAATTCGATTTATTAGAAGTGAAAAAACGAGTTGATATATAGGGTGTCGAGCTTGGTCAGTTTGTTGGACAGATGTATTGTCTTTAAATCAAAATTTAGATTTCTTAAAGTAAATAATGCATTATTTGAAACAAATTAATATTTCATCCAAATAAACTAAAAAATCTTTCATATTAAAAAAATATTTATTTGTTATTACATTATTCTATCTCTCTTTCTTTATTTGAAGTACATTTATTAATAGGTTGAAATAAATCATTGCTTTAACGGTATTAAAAAAACCAGTTTTTGAAATAAAATCTTTTTGTATTGAATATATTGAAATATATTGAAATAAAATTTATTATATTTTTTTCTCAGTGTATCTATGATATAGTTGATTCCATTTTGACAGGCGACGATTCCTACGGATACGATGGAATGATTCGATGGAACGGAATATTAACGGGTATGCAAAGCGTAGATGTTATACTATGAAAATACTTCGTTGAAATGTTTCGTAAGCGATACGCGCTGCGCGCTGCTGTAAAAATATTCTCATCAGAGATAACTAGGCCGTATTCGGGCTGCACACTCACCTGAAGTTATTCGATGGAGCTGATAGTCGCTGAAAGTGGACTGTCTTCTCGTCTGCAGATTGATTCTTCTTAGGGAGAGATAAACGGCGATAGTTTTGTCCAAGGCGAGTCTCACCTGCGAGAAGAAGTGTCTTATAGATATGTGATACACGTGTAGTCGTGCGTTATTTTTTTTTAAGAACGAAACATACGGCTACACGCGGAAAATTTTTCTCAAAGATATAAGAATTTGTGAACCAGAAAAGTGCCACAATAGTCTTGCTTGTCTACATTGAGAAACCCATTTAGTTGAATCAATTAAATTCTTGTTTGACTATGGGTAAACAAATTTTTTGGTTGTAATAACCAATGTTTAGTCGTCTAAACCGAAGGTTTTCTGAAGTTTCAGAGGTTTCAAAAAAGGTTTCGTTCTGTGAATCAAACCTTTGGTTTCTTTTGTTTTTTTTTTTAATAATACTAGTTTTTTTTAATCTATTTTAATTGGTGGGGGGGGGGGGAGGGGAACTCATTATCACTCACGATTTTTCCCATTCCGCCGCCATATCTTTTTTATCAATAACGTCCTAAGTAATAAATTTCATAACTTTGAGTGTGGAACCAATTAAATAGCGTATTGACGAATACGAATCGTCAAGCTTTTAATTTAAACTATTGATTATTAATCAAGTTATTATATAAAACATAAATGGGTGCGTCGCAATACCACCTTCTTCTCTATCTGTTATATTATTCAGCAAAAATTGTCTATGTGTACACATTGCAGGAGTGATTCAGTCTCTTGCCGCTGATATTTCTCACCTCGCCGTTAAGGAAACAGTAGAGAGTCGCGATGAAAAGGCCTTGAAAGGACCGCAGGAAATGCGCAGAGTAGGACCAGAGGGCGAATTTCTTCACGTTGTCCAGCGGAGCTCCGATCATGAAAAGCATGTTGGTGATGCCGAGCAAGGGTAGGAGCACGACGGTTGCTCTCACGGCTTTTCTACGAGCGGCGAAAGAATCGTCCATCAATATTTCCACTGTCGATGCGCATGGAGCACCGCGCGTGCGACCGCCTATTGTCATTTGCATGCTTTAACAAAACCGCGGGCGCAGGTAACGAGCCGCCCGTGCGTAAATTCTCTCGCTTTCGGCGAATTAGTGATTATTTTTTGAGAGAAGCCCGAGCGATGAACAAGTAAAAAAAGTGTCAGTGTGACGTACGAGGAGGAGGGAGGTAATGGAGCCTCTTTATTCATTATTCATGACCCGTTGCAACCGTAGCGAGATTGATTAACCGGGAGCCGGCCAATTTCGCGAGGATCTAAGAGGTTCCCGAGATCGGGAGACACGTTTTTATGCTCTACGCTCCTCCCGGTTCCTTTGATTCACAGGTCATTCGTATACTTACAGAATCTGTTTGATCTCGCTCGTGTGACTTTGCCGCAGCTTCACCACGAGCACTCTTATGATGTTCAGCAGGAACAAGAAATTAAGCTGGGAGCGAACAATGAGAACATGATTGTAACATTCCGTCAATAATCGCGAAGAAACATAATGAAAAATCGATATCACACAAATTTAGTCGAAATCATTGTAAATTGTGTCTATATGCGCCCTTTTTCGCGCGTATTTTCATTAATATAATATAATAGCGAGATTTGCTATTTTCCTCGCGAATTATTAATAAAAATTATTATAACAAATTCTCACCAATATCACCGCGAATCTGGGCCCCTCGAGGATCCAAAAGTAAGAGGACAAATTGTACCCCGACCAACATCTGAGAAACCTAGTATTTTGACATGTTTTAATATTTCTCTCTGCAAAACATCTCATTTTCTCTCCTGTCGATATCGAGTAACGCTTTAATAACAAATACTTCGATAACGACGAAGCAATTTTCTCGATAAAAATATCAAGCTGCTTTTAGCTCTCTAGTAGTCAGCAATTAGAAACAAAAGGTTTGCCGCGGATTAACCTTGCAATGAATTCCAAACGAATAATGAAACGTCACTCAATTCTACGTGCGCTTCAATGGAAATTTTTAATCGACAATTAAATTAAAAGTATAATTTAATGAAAGGATACCAAAAAAATACAATTTCGAAGATGAAAATATTTACTGATATCTTCGTGAATGAACAAAAATTGATTCCTCTCTCTTACTTCTGATAAAGCAATCAACGTACTTCGATTTTGGATGATAGTAAAACGCCATAACGACGGCCCAAGCCAAAGTTATCAGCACAGGGCCTCCCCATCCGACGAGTCGGTACATTCGGTAATAAGACGTCTCTTGGAAGACCGTCACTGTAACACCACAATTATCCCCACGCAATAATGAATTCTGCCGTTGTTGCTGTTAATTATAGCCAGCCCACAATCACTGGGAAAAAACTCAATTTCTGCAGCTAAATAGAGACCGGATGAAAATTCAGCGGCAAGAAATGAAAGTTCGGTGACGAGAAATAATATTAATCTCGTTCTCGCGACTGAGCACATTTGTGTAGATATATACACACACAAGGGACTTGTGCAATGCCACTGTGTTGTTTACGTACCAGTCACCATGTTATGCAGAAACAGACCCTCTATGAACATCCACGTGAACATCGCGGTTTTGACATACTCCAGCAGCACGTAACTCACTTCGCACAATACCGGCTGGAAAAAATAGCGATGCGTATTACCTATGACATTTAGAATTTTAGCTGGACCAGCAAAACATTTCTCTGAGTGTAACAGTATATATCTGTCAGCTTATAAGCTCTGCACATTTGCCTGACATCCATTAAAAATTATATAGCACTTAGCACAGCATTTTCTTTGTAGTCGGTGGGGGATTTTCTTAAAGCTATGCAGTGATTATTTTATCCCATTAAGAAACAATTTTTAATATCACTGAAGGTACTTTATCGTATTCAAATTAGAATGTAATGCAAATCACATTCGAATTGAAGAAATTTGATTTTACGTGAACATTTCAGATTTGATTCGACTTGGCCACGCAGATACTTGATTTGCACATCTCTAACAAATAGACGATGGTCAGAGTTTTTTCTTGCTGAGAAGATTAATTACAGAAGAAGGGTTAGGAAGGATTAGGAAGAGTAATTACATTTCTTTCTTTCATCTGTTATAACAATGAAGTAATCTGATTGTGTCTTACTGTATTTCCTATTCCTCGTTGCATACCATGCGTCTTTCTTCGAAAGATTGCGAAGTCTATATACAATGTCAGCCGAATTAACACTTGGCCGACCATGGCGACGAAAAGATTCTTGTGAATCCTGGTTCTCGTGTTCCGCAACGACCTGCGGAATTTAATTAGTACAAATTAAAAGTCTGAAGCGCTTAGCGTACAAAGGATTAAAAATACATACTAACAATTAATATTAAATCTCAATAATATTCATCGAGATTATATTACACGCTCACCTAAATCGACAGAAAATCACCAAGGAAGCAAGCAATGCCACCAGGGAAATACTGAGGCCGACAAACTCGAGAGTGCGGGTTTTTTCGACAATTTCCACTTTCATCTGAGAAAAAGACGAAAAAAGCGAGAGATGAAATTTTGTCCAAGTTTTTATGAGACGAGAAAAAAAAGTAAATTTGCATTTATTCGATGCGTCGCAAAAGTTTTCTCGAGAAAACTTTTCTGCCAGAAATACATAAGAATCATTATTTAGAAAATCCGAAATATCCGCAGGGTGTAGTAAAGTTTGTCGGCAAAAATTCAATTATTAGTTTTCCATACTTTAGATATATACGTGCGCAGGGAATTATTAAATCTCTTGCAATTCCCAAGAAAAAAAGAGAGAAAGATAGATTATACAATATAAAGGAAAAATAGTTTTCGCGAAAACGTTCGCGCGGAAAAATTCGATCAAACATAATTGTGGTACTGTCACTATATAAATAAATATAACTTCGCATTGTATATGCAATCATATAACAACGTATACAGCATAATTCTTGCTTAAAATTTTTTAATATCAAACTAGCTCATATGTGGATTCGTGTTTTTCTACCTTCCGACCTGTTGATTCATTTCTCATCGTGAAGAAAAACATTAAAGCCAACGATACACACGAATAAATCGTTTGAGATATTTCACAGTAATATTTTATTCATTTTATTCTTTAGCTTTCTATTTTCACTGCATTCTCGAATTCTAAAACGGAGTTAAACTCACAATGGAACTAGTTTATCGATTCTACCTCGTATAACCACGATCGAACTCAATCCAATAGCCATAAGCATTCGTGTATATTGAATCGTGTAAAATACATCGTCGTCTTATTGACAGTTACCTCGCCTTCGCCGAAGTTGTTGTTGTAGACCTGATAGTGGAGCCAAAGCATCTCCGGCGTTAAGCAAGTGGAGTAGTTGGCCCAGCCAGTGGGCGAATTCTCGTTTGTGTTCGTCCCGTTCTGTGTCTCCCAGTGTCCGTTGTAATCGCATTTCTTCTCCACGGATTCTGAAAAAAAAAGATGGAGAGATATCTCGGAAAATGGAATAAAACACGAAGATCCGACATAGTTGCTGAGAATATCTTATATCCACTCTTTGCTTCCGTATTATATTTTATCTCTAAATTTGATACGTCTAAAGAGAAAGGAATAATTATTACAAATAACCGTGGGCATTTTAATTTTTATTATAAATTGTTAAGATCGTTTAAACCTACATATAATAAAATTTTCACTTTCTCCCTATGATTGAATTGCTGGGTTTATTGATTATTATTAAGCTTTGATTTTAAGGTGATTTTTGGATATATTAATTAATTTATAACGGTACTGTTATATGTATTTTATACATTTTTACGTATCAAAGCTGATCTAATAAATGATAAAATTGCTATTATATAATTTCTTAATATTCATAGAATCAGATCATCCCGGTAGTTAGCGATCGACTACAGAAAATCCGATGAATATAATATAGGAATAAAAGGGAGAAATGTTTCTCCCTTCTTCTCTCTCCATACATAAATGATAACGAAAAATGGTGCAATATATGAATAGAGAAAAGATTGAAATGCTTTCCTGATAAAAATATTTTTCAATACAGAATATTTTTTAATATTGTCGTAAAACTGAACATGAGGTATTTTACTTCAAATTATGTAACATGTTATATGGAATTATATTGGTATGTCGGATCTGATAATTTGAGACATTTAGTTTCATTTTATAACAATTTCAATATTATATCTGAATTTTGTCGAACGAAACATTCGCAGAAACGCTGCCGCGCTTTAAACTTGCTTTGTCTTTGTTTAAAGGGGAAATATCACTGGGATTCATCTACGACCTCTACTTTCTCCATCGATCTCTGCCGCTCATTTTTCCACTCATCCTGTAGAGTGTAATCGATCAAACGTGCTTAAACGCGTCGAAATTTTATGATTGATCGAATTCAAGGAATTTAGCACCTCAAATCCTTGAGTTGTATATAAGAAAGGCCTGTATCTTTTAAAATAATTAATATAAACATAATTCCGGTATATATTTTATTAATATAAACATAGTTTTTGTTAATATAAACATAGTTCGGATATATATTTTATATATATTATTTTTTCTTTTTAACTCTTGACTATTTATAATGTTATTTTTTGAAATTAAGAAGAAATAGGGAATTAGAAGGAATAGGAGATATTTTAGAAAGCGTAATATCTTCTTTCATTAAAATCGAACACATAGGCGATTTTATATATTTTAGTCTTCTAGTCAAATGCTTGACGGAAAGATTGGGATTACGTCACAATTCGCAAGAAAAATTTGTGCAGAGTCAGCAGCTCACATGTACTTTCCTTTTTTTAAGCGATCAATATAGACTAATTAATTAATGAAAATTTTTCTATCACAACGCACAAATTTCGAGAGTTCGGCAAGAAGTTTTTGCAGAATGCGGCTGCATGGGAAATAAAAGACGCTGCTCGCATACAAAGCGCTTATAGGTCCTCGAAGTTTTAAAAAAATGCTTCTTCTTTAAAGAACGCACCTCCATTAAACCGCGAAGGGCGACAAAGACGGTAAAGTGTGAATGCATTCAATCTTTAAGTTCCCGACGTCATCACTCAAAAAAAAAAGATCTTGCAGTCATTCAGCGTAAATGATCTAGGTGCAAGAAATTAGCTAAAGTGAAACCCGTCCGTCTTATCGGACGTGTCAGCTGACGATTTAACATTAGAACAGCTCGCGATTTTCGTAAGAAAATACAGAGATAATATCTGATTTCTAATTGTTAAACAGCATGAGCGATTTAGTGAGAATACTGAAGAGGATTGCTGAGGAATGAACTTAATGTTTTGTGGAAATTTAATTTTAATAAACGAACGTACAAAAGAGAACGATAATTCCCCATAATGATGCTATAAGAGAGCTGTCAGGTTCCGATAGATCCGATAAGTATGCATTATTAAGAAAATTGAAAACCGCTCGGAGCAACTTTGCTGTTCGGAACTACTTACTGGTTGTATCGAATCCATCCACGAAAGGGCATCGCTGCTTCGCCGTAGCGGAAGCTTTCGTCGGCGGCCAACAAAGCAACGAGTCCCATACCGGATTGCACCAGAGTTCTGTAAAACAGACAATAGCCAGCGGTATCATTCGCTCGACGGAAATAGCTGATATCAAGCTTTAACTCGCTCAAAAAAATGATCCTGCAATCATAGCGAAAATTATCTAGATACGAGAATTATCTAGATACGAAAAGTTAGCTAAAATGAATAAATGACTAGCAAATACTTCAATGTTACATGTGTGTTGTATCTAATCAATATAGGCAACAAAGACAGAATTTTATTTATTTTACCATGTTACAATTAACCCTGAGTTACAACCAACCTTCGGGATGAAGACAATCGTAACGAGTCTCGATCTTCGATAAAATTTGATTTTTCTATTTAATTATAAAATGTGGTTAGATTTTATTCATCTTTTTATGTAATCAATAAATGTATTTATGAAAGAAAAAAAGTTAATACGCAAACAAGCAAATGGAAGATATCGACTTATAAGCAAAATGTTACTTTTGTTCCTGGCCTCCCTCATAAATTAAATTCTGACAGAGAATAAATTTTATCACTGTGTATAGTAATTGCAGCTGAGGCGGCATTTGCTGTTTGCCGCGCTCGGTTGTGTTATTAGCGTCGTTTGATCTTACGTGCTGATTAAAGTTGATATTATTATTGAATTCTTCCAGAGTGCTACATTTGAGAAATATTTACGATTTTGAAGTTACATTCAATGATGAAGCTTATGAGTACAAAGTAAAAGTTATTTTTGTATTGTAAGCTTTTATTACGCGGGACACGCCTGGTCGTAAATATAAACGACAGTCCGCGTTGGGAATTCCTACATAAAATAAAGCTGCAGCAAATAAAAAGTTCGCCTCTACTTTTTGTGACACTTCTTTGGGAGGAACGACGGAAACTTAGAAATTGCTCGCGATCGTGACGTGAAAAATAAATGCGAACTTGATCGCATCAAACCTCCGTATGGCGCGACGAAATTTTCATATTGGATATCACAGAATTCTCGATTGTTGTTGCTGTTGCCATTCAAAGCATCCATTTTTTTTCTAATAGTCCATTTTTGTCCGGCGTTTCTACATCTTCGTTTCAGCGTTTGCCTCGTAGTAATCGATGAAAACTTGTCGGGCTCTGTAAATAAGAAATAAATAGAAATTTTTAATATAAATGTAAATAATCTGTAAATAACTGTCATTTTGATCGCTTAATATTATCGGCAAAGTAAGATAATTTAATTCGTATTATTTAATAAAACCGCGTGTTATCTCGTTGGCGAACTGTGAAATGTGTGTGATACAAATTATCGTAATTGATCTTTTTGAAAAGTTTCGACGCGATACGGAGTCACAGTTCTGTGACTTTTAGAGATAAATATTATGTGGATGTTCTCTACTATGATGATTAATATCCGGATGTGACAAGCTCAGTTTACAATTAAACTCAGCGACGAATAATCATTAAGAACGATATTGTTATGTACCGTGGATTGAGCACGTTGCGAATGATTTATTTCGAATTTACACGATAAATGTTTATCACGACAAATAATTAACGCAGTTAAAATAATTGTTGGCTATTAGTGACGCGAAAAATACCGTTCGCCAAAAGGATACAAACAATACCCACATACGTCGAAGCCAAATTTAAAGTTATATGTCATTAAATGGCATTTCTGTTAGTTTTGAGAACATATTATAAATTAATTAAAATTTTATCATAAACTTAAAAATATAGAATACAATCAGAATAATTGTCCCAAATGTTTAAATTTTTAAACGAAATAAATGTTATGTACTTAACACGTATATTATTATAATAAATTATTAATTTATTTTCATGATGAGGTTACTTTGTCACTAACTGGGATACTCATCTTAATTGTATCTTCTAACATTTAAAGACAATGTAATCCTCTTATAATTAATTAATGATAAGCTGATTTGGTGTTTACAGAACAAATACATCCCAGTACATTCCAGTACATTTCAGATTACATAACCGGAGCGTCAATAGCTGCGTACCTAATCCATTGTAAATGCAATGTGTTATGTGTTCATCCTCGTAAAGCTTAGATACAGAAATCATTATGCGTTGTGTAAGTGGCAAATTCAATTACAAATTAAATTTCAAATACGAACGTAATATGCAATTCGATGTTAAATCTTTATGCCAGCCTTTCTCAATCGGTCCGATGGCATTCGATGAGAAAAGACAATAATATTATATTATTAATGTATAAAATTAATATTATTATATTACTAATATATAAAAAATATGTTATGTTATGCATTATTATTTTATCCTGAGGTCCTTTAGATATTAGATGCTGTTTTAAAAATAGCATCCAGATTGGCAAACAGAGCGGCAATAATTTTCGGCAGAAATTATTACGGAGACTGAGTGTCGGATAGGAACTCTCGTAATTTTCGAGGTAGCATTCCATAATCTTCCAAATTCATTTGGATTTATTTCACATCTCTCATTAAAATGAGCGATGACTATCCGACGAGAATTAATAGTTTTAATAGAATTAATAAGTTCCACTAATTTTTACATGATATAATAGAAGAGAAATTAGTACTATGACCCTTGTCGGTACCTACGGCGTCTCTTAATACGTTGAGTAGGGGCTCAACCTTTAGATTGAGCTAGGCATTTTCTCTTTCTATGGCGAGTTCGCCTTAAGCCCGACTTACCATTTCTTTATGGTTAGAAGGTAAAAAAAATTTTTTTAAATATTTTACACGTTGTTTTTAAGTATATTTGAGTTAATTAAAATAGAAAAAATATGAAGGTCGGATTTTTATATAGAGCCACACACCTGTGGCACCTGAGGCCATAATTCTTTCTCCTTTATTATATGCACTAATAATAATTCTTTGCATATGATTTATTAATATTATTATGTTATGTATTTAAATATTAGATACATGTTAATTGTTATATTCTCGTAATATTACAATTAAAAAGTGAAAAATTATTTTAATTCTCCAAGTAAAACAATAAATCATAATTAATGAGACAATCAACAGTTATTAATTGATAAAATCAACACGTTATATACATTTTCTGAGTCTATTTAAAAGTGATCACATTTCCTGTTTATAGTCGGGATATTGACGAGATTGACTTGGAGCATTTCTTATATAAACTAAAGATTACACTGTAAGAAGTAATATAAGTCGATAACAATTTCACGATAATACATTGCATAGGATCTTACCGGTGCCTTCGCTGTCGACGCTCAGTAGATGAAGTCCGCATTAGTCAGCCCATTAGTCAGCTTGCGAGTGCTCCACCGTTCTTAAGAATTATTCAAGCAATGCAAAATATAAATTTTACGATTCGTTATATCAACGAGCAATATAAAATGTTACATAACACGATATATGCAACAGGATTGAAGCGATTCGGTTTAGTTCTCGAGGGATATTAAATATCTCGCTTTTCGTCTACGAACTTATGTATGAATAAACGAAGTTAATAAAATGACTTTACTCGTATAAGATCGCATTCGCATATCCGTCCAGCATATAAAATGGCATTTCTCGAAACGAATTATTTTGTTAAGAATGCCCGGTATTTTGCAAAATTTTGCATTAAGCTCTAATTTTAAGAATTAATAATAAAAAACGAACGGTACGAAAAACGAATCCATATGCATAAATATAATTATAATACAAATGATTAATAATGTATTTTTTCGAGCTCCGGCGACGATTAGAAAATTTTACTTCCATAGAAATAACGTTATTCATGCGATAAAAAGTCGCATCCCCGGGAATATTTAGTGATTAATTCGGTCAGAAAAGTACATAATTCAGATCTACTTGGGAAATTTAAACAGCGAGTCGTAAAATCGCGGAGTATATACTGAGATGTGTGATCAAATCAACGACAGATCCTTTAGAGCAGGATCCTGTCGCTCATGACTCGTCTCCGCAGGTCGGAGGACGCGCGAACATCTCGGGGTACGCGCTTCGACTGCTTCGCGCTCACACATCTTGCAACCACTCGAAACGCGGCGCAGCCTCCCTCGTCATTGGTCCAAACACCCTCCAATCATATATTACCATTCTGTATGTGCTGCTTTTTTTCACTCGCCGGCGTACTCCGGGTCCTCGTCGAAAATACGACGGTTGTTCGACGCGAAATTCTCCTCCGAGAATCGGTGGTTTCGATCCTGAAGTGAACATCCATCCATATCCTAATCTGGTCAACGTTGTTTTATCTCAATCATCGAACAAGGACTTCTGATACCAATTTATCTTGACGAAATTTTGAGAGGCTACGCTTATAATATATTTTAATATCGTTCGAAAAACATTATAACGGCATAATGCATAATGGCTCAGCGGTCCCGGGTTCGATCCCGATAGAAGTGAAAATATTTACGCTCCTGTCTCCTCTCGGAAAACGATGGCAAACTACCAAGAGTATTATATCCTTGCCAAGCAACTATAAGGAAACACGCGAAAAATTTCAACCTCTTTTGCTTCATCCAAATACGTTTCAGAGATACACGAGGAAGTGTCCTCACAGTAGTACGCGGGGAGTGCGAGGAACAAATTGCATTCGCTGATATCGACTGATCAAAGCGTAGGAGATGCCGCTTGCCTTCCTTTAATACATAAGCTGGATCGCGTTACGTGATACGTATGTCAGAAGTAAATAACCGAGACGATCCCGGCCGTAATACTACCTGCAACTTCAGTATATTATTTCCTTCTCCAGTGTATTACGCAACGGGGTACCGCGCTTATTCCGCGGTGTAAATTGAGCGAGAGGCATCGAGCGGCGAGATAAGCGAGTCCCGGCGATGATTACGAAATCGTTAATTAATATCGAGAGCGATTGCGAACGGACGAGCTTTCGCGTCGCTCCACGCTGTTTACGGGTTGCGTTCCGATATTCTTCACTGCCAATACTGACAAATCTATAGTATACGTAACGTGAATTATATTTTTTCAGTACTGGCAGTTGAACGTCGAGACGCAGTCTACGTAACTGGCTGGTGAGCACGTGGGCTCTCGAGGCTACATGAGCACGCTGGGCGAAGTTACGTGGCGAGGACGCTCCTTTGCTGTTCACCGGCCACGTGACTGCCTCGTTCTCCTCGTCGCGGTGATTATGTAAAGACCACGGACGGTATCGAATAAACCGCGGAGACGAAGTGCATCATTTACTCTTTGTGACACCGCAAGGGTTGTTCGCGCAGAATGGCGGCCACTGACAATGAGAGAAAAGCAGATCGGCAGTTTCGATCGGAAACGAGCGTTGGAAGCGTTCAAGTATTCGAACGATTCTAATCGTCACGCTTACGCGCCTTTATCCGATTAAACGTAACTTCCGATGAAATGTGAACGGGAAATCTCTTAAAACAAGCATATTTTAAACACGTTGTGCTGTTGCAATGGCATCACAAAGCATACATTAAATGTTTGCATACTATGTTTAACATTCTTGTCTACCTGGCTACTAAATTTACTAAAATACTAAATACTAAAATTAGTTAGTCCATTTATAAAGGGTAGAGGAGATAAATTTGCAAAAAGATGACACATAAATTTATTACTCTTTATTAGTTTTTATATGTTGTTTATCTTATATGTTATTAATATATTGTATATTATTTATTTTTATAGCAGCTACGCAGTAAACATCAACAGTAACGTAATATCAATGTCACAATTATTTACTCAATAATGTAACTATTACATATCATGTAATGTTATGTAACAGTAATGTAAATGTAATATAACACACACACGTTAAGTTACATTTATGTTATTAAGTGAGAAATTATAACATTAGCTTTATGTTACTGTTAATTGATGTTTACTGGGCAGTAATCAATACTAGAGGTTGTAATTCTGTAAAGCGGTGTCTACAATAGGCGTAGTAAACTTTAATCCATAAGAAACGGACCAATCACAGTCGAATGTGAGAACGATCTATTGTGACTGATCGATTTCTTACAGCTAAGGCTTACTACACTTATTGTAGGCATAGCTTAATATTTTTTGTATATTATATAGTATGTCGTTTTTCATACATTCCCAGAATACCTAGCAAACACCAATTTATAACACACGCGTTATACAATCGTTACATTGTTCAGTAGGGAATTACAACTAACAGTTATGTAACCGCAACCTGGTGTTCGCTGGGTATACTTTGGTAGTTCGTCCGCGATGTTCTATTTATTTATCGAATATTATGAATATATTCTAGAAATAACATCCACACTTTTAGCAAAAATAATTTAAAACTTTTGATAACGAGAAAAATAAACAGTTCTGATTGTTCTTCGAGTCGTGGTCTGGCTAATGCAATTCGGTTGTTTCCTCGCCGTGGCCGGTTCCCCCTTCAGATTTCGGTCAGGACGACTTCGGTTTGTTCCTGAGCCGTCAGGATGGCCACGTGACGTTCTCTTCTTCCGGTTACGTTCGCTAGTGACCCGGACGTGTCCACATCTAGTAATTCGGGTGAGGTGAGGTTGGGTATCGCACCTGCTCTCTCCCCTCCTTGACTCGACTTTTGGTGCTGGACCGGTCGCCACTCCACTCTACCGCCTATCTTCGTCGGTGTGAGTTTCGGAGTCGTTCGGAAACCGTTTCAAACCACCGGAACAATCGTGCTGCTTCTCATCGTTTAAGACGTGGATGTACGATAGACTATCACGCTCTGGTTCGTGGGATAATTTTTTTTCCGTGCCTCCCTTTGACCCGACCTTATCTGCTCGATGACTTCTTTGACCGGCTCTTCCTCGGAGGTACTGCTCCTCCTCCTTTTGGGGCGTCACTGCAAAATGAAGTATTTATAACAACATTTGAAGCGTGTTAAAACATTCCTGCACTTTCAACACACTCTCCTGATATCTTAAATTAACACATCCCAGTGAACATCAAGCTGCAGTTACATAACTGTTAGCTATAATTTCCTACTCAACAATGTAATTGTAACTCAACAATATAACGGGTGTGTAACGCTGTCGTGTTAAGCAAAGTTTTCACGTAAGGTGGCGCAACGGCATTGTACAGTCGGTCGCAAGACGGTTGTAACAGTTCCTTTACATGTTTCGGTACGTACAAAAAATACAATGAAGGGAACCGGTGATTTACGAACGATGCGCACAATGAATAATTAAACTGCTGTCAAAATGATGTTAACACATTTTAATTTTGACAGCCGTTTTACCATCTATTACGCATGTTCGCTTCGTCGTATTTTTTGCGCGTTCTGAAGTACGTAAGAAGAGAAACTGTTGCAACCGTCCTGCGACCGACTCGCACTCGTCCTAACACACATTTTCCCATACCTATTTTTGCAGTGTTTGTCTGCCCTTTTCTCTCCTCATTGCCTCGGCGGCTTGTACGTTCTGACGCCGCCTCAGCGTCGCTTCCTGCTGCTTCCGATGGAAAAAGGTCGAACTTTTTCCGCTCGTCGTCGGCTCGAAGTTGCTCGTCGACTTCATCGCTCCCTTGGATGCTCTCCTCGGGATCTTACTGTCCGCCAATTGTTTCTCCTCTGGCGATATAACGACTCGTTCGCATCCCGTCTCGCTGCGATCCGCGGACGGGTGTCTCGCGAGCCGAATTGTCCTCTGCTTCGACGACCTCGGAATCCTCTTCCGCACCGCGAACTCGTTGCTCGTCGACGGGATCGGATTCCCCCGTCGCGTCTTCCTCGATCCGTGGATCTCCGCCGTCGGAGCCTCGCTCGTTCTTCCCACACGGCGGAGACTCGCGAATTTCCCGGATCGCTTATCCCGTCCCCTGTTTCCCGATGTTCGGGTCGTTATCGACGCACCGGTGGCGCGATTCTTAGCGTATCTCTTCTCCATTCTCCCACTTGCGCTCGCACTGCCCGAAGTGATTTTCCCTCGCGTCTCGCGTTTCCTTCAACGGATATCCCTTTATCGTCGTCCTCCGCATCTCGTTCGTTCGTTGCCTCTCCGAGCCCCGGTTCCCCAGGATTTTCAACCGTTGTTACAACTCGTCCATCGGATACGAGGACGATTTCTATCACGTCGACGTTTTCGACGGTCCGGTACGGCACTCTGTTAACCCTCCAGCGAACGCGCGAAAATTTGAATCTTCAACGGACACGTGGAGTATAAATCACAGCCCACATTATTTATGTTATAAATATTAAACTAATCAATACTTTTTGTTTAACATCATTCATTTTCGTAATCTTAAATTGTATTAATTATGTAAGCTGCATTAATGCAGAAGCTTGAATTTTAATGTTTCCTCGATAATAATCGTTTCTATGCTGAAACGAGCCCAGAACGCTAATTTTGTTACAAGCTGTTGAACGACTTGACAAATTTCATGGTCTATTATAAAAAATATAATTTTACGTATGATATGTGAAGGAAGGGTTTAAGAAAATTCGTGGACAGATTTCTAAAATTTTAATATATATGTTAATGATAGTCATTAATGCATAATGATTAAATTAATATATAATGTGTTAATTAAATTATAATGTATAAATAATGTAATGTATATATTAGAATATTACACGATTCGGACGACGTTTAGAATCACATACTTCACGAGAAATGACTTTAACATAAATTTTCAATGCAATTTCGTTATAATTTAAAAAATATTTGTAAGATTATTATTATAATAAAGAAACTGATATATGTACTCTTTCCTTATTAAACCGCAAACATGTGTGTCAACATGAGTTCCAACCTACAATAGATGTAGTAAGTTTTAAGCTGTAAGAAATTGACCAGTCATAGTTGAATTATAAAAGAAAAGTCAATTATGATTGATCAATTTTTTACATCTTAAAGCTTACAGCCTAAAGCTTAGTATAGCTATTGTGATAGATTGGGACTAAACAAATATGTGCAGACAAATCTAGAAAATCTACATAGACTTCTAACAGAGGAGACAGAATTGGAATGGAGAGAATCGGATTGCATTAAACATTAGTATCAACAGAACACTAACAGAAACAGTAACATTATATCAATGTTACAATTTCCCACTTAATAATAATTAATAATGTAAACAATAGCAATAATGCAACGTAATGTCTTCTACACAACATTTATATTGTTAAATAAGAAATGATAACATTGTTATAATGTTACCATTAGTTGGTGTTTACTGGGACAGTGAGGACGACTTTTTGGAATATTAGGTTAAAATAATTACAAAAAATATTTATGAATTAACAAATGGTTGGAAACATGCAGACGCGTTATGTGAGTTACGTTATATGATGTATTATATATGTGTATGTGACTGAGTTGTTAAGTTAGGTTAGATTTATAATCAGCAATACATAAAAGAATAATAATAGTATAATAATAATAGTAATAAAAAGTCCTAATCATACCATTTTTTACTGTAAATTCACTATCTTCACGAGAATAGAAATATGTAACATGAGTTGGCGTATGGAATGTAAATTACACCGCAATTTCGGCAGCGTCGATAGGCGATACTAAATAAAATTCGCGGCGCTGCCAACCTTGATAGGTAAGGAAGAGAATTAAGGAAAGATATTGAAAAAAGCAGCACTGGAGAAAAATTTGTTTCCATGTGAAATCTAAGAAAAAAGAAACCTGGGATGTAAAACATACTTAGCGTGCCCGTTGGAAGGTTAAGCGTGGTCTACAATGCGGTCGGAAGATCATGTAGTCGTTCGAGTCGGTCTATCACAGTCGGTTATTTTCCTCATATTTGACTGTGATTGGTCAATTTCTTAAGGGTGCGTTCGAAGAGATGTTATTTAGCGCTACGCGTCGTTCTATCCTTATTGTACATGTAAAGAGTAATAAAGATGGAATGACGCGTTAGCGCTAAATAGCGTCTCTTCGAACGCACCCTAAGACTTAATAAACTTTTAAACACTTTTAAACAGTATAAAAATACCAGTTGCATATGATTTTTCGTTTGCGCAACACAATTTGGCAAATTTTATACAATACTTTTACATTTAATTAATCTTTATTTTTATATAAATTAAAATCGATATTCAACAATAATACCGGAATCAAAAGACTTTAAGCTGTCGAATGTTTCTACCATCTCGTTACCATTATTTTTGCGAGAGTTGCAGCCTGTTGAATCTCATCTATTAGCTGCAGTGCGCATCTAAAAAGATGATGTGGCTGAATAGCGTACCAAGGATCCACTATTTTTCAAATGTTATGTTTTAAGAACGGACAAAAAGGACACTTTTACATTTTCATCGGACGATCGACCGAAGGTCCAAATATGTTTTTATCTCTATCATCGCTTATGTTTGTTGTGCACCATTCACACTTATAAATGTAAACAATAGGGAACATAACCTTTCTTTTGTGCAGCGTTTACAGACGACATAAATTTGCGGACAACGATGTGAGATCATTGTTAATTCCTGAAAGTTTCTTCGGAAACTAAAAAAAATTGGACCAGGTACGCAAACCAAATTGAAAAAAAAAAAAAGTAAACAAAAACATCCTGAAGAAAACAGACAATACAACAGGAAAAGGGGAGAAAAAAAGAGTAAATATTACCGGAAGTAGTGGACCTCAATATTTATAGGATCAAATTTAGCCAACGAAAATGCCAGTTTTCCAAGAGTGTGCGGATGTAAATATTATGTTTTCTTACTATTGTAATACACGGCGAGTCTGGCGCGATGTAAAATAAATTATACGATTAGAACAATATGATAAAATACTCTGTTATGATTTCGGTCAAATTCTCTTTATTATTTTCATCATTTTATCAATTAATATATGCCCATAACTGTTACATCATATTTTATTGCAGGAAATTGAAACGCAAACAATTATTGTAATTCATCCCGGATCTATGTATCTTCGTATGGGACGTGCTTCAGATCTGAAACCATGTACATTATTGAATGCCGTGGCAAGGAGACGTTTGCCAGGTGGGATAAAATACAAGGACAGTTTCTTACCGCCAATTGTACCACTAGTAAGTACAAGTTAACACACACAGTCCGGATACGATGGAGCCTCAGAAAATTCTCTGTACAAAATACTATTTGTAATTACCAGAATAAGGAGCTAATGCAAGGTATGGAAGAGTCCCGACTGCAGATCTCGCACACCTTGCAGTCCTGTTTACAATCGGACGGGAGTCGGAGGTACGCGACTCCGCCGCAGCAGATAGCACCGTACAATCGCAGATCCTGCCCAGTGGTCTGTCCTTCGAACAACAGCAGCTGGGTAAAAACCGATCGCGATATAATCGTTGGAGATGACATTCTTTTGTTAGATCCGGAGGAGGACTTTAATATCCACTTCCCGTACAAACGAGGCGAACTCAACGTTCACTCGGGCCCGGGCGGCAGTGTGAAGGCTGTTATGGCTGACCTGAAGACAATCTGGGAACACGTGCTGAACGAGAAGCTGGGTATCCCGCTGAAAGATCTTAAGCATTATCGCGCTGTACTCGTCATACCCGATATTTACCACAGGCCTTACCTGAAGGAACTAACGTCCCTGATGCTGTGCGAGATAGGTTTCGGCAGTTGTTTCTTGTTGCAAGTTAGTTCGTACTACGTCGCATACTTCCCGTGAGAATATCGTTTCATCGCGTAATTCGGCATTTCTTCCAGACTAGTAATATCGTTCCGTTCAACTCGACAGGATCATGTCGCAGCGATATTCGGGGCGGGTTTGAGTTACGCGTGCGTCGTGGACGTCGGCGCTCAGAAGACATCGGTGTCGTGCGTGGACGACGCAATTTCTCACAAGGACACGCGGGTGCGAATGGATTACGGCGGCGGTGACATCACGCAGGCCTTCTACTGGCTCCTGCAGAAGAGCGCGTTCCCCTATAAATCGTGCGACCCGTCCAACAAGTTGGACGCGACCCTCTTGAATCAGCTGAAGGAGGACTCCTGTCACGTGGATTTAAACGTCTGCGGCTCGCAGGAGAAGAAGTTCGTCGTCGAGAAAGCAAAGCAGCCAACGGAGAAGTACACTTTGCAGGTATATCGTCGTATTTTGTGTCAACTTTTTATCAAAAATCAAGATCACACTCTGCAACGTCGTGATACATATTGGACGTGTCGCAACAGGTGGGCGACGAGTGCTTAATAGCTCCTTTGAGCTTATTCCAGCCCGAATTATTCAGGATCACCGGAACGCACACCGTACACGTTCAGAAACGATCAACGGGTGACCCGGAGGATCTTTTCGATGAGAATTACTTGAGGGAGACCAGCGTAAGCGTCCGTCCAAATATGCGTCCCAAGTTTACACTCTGTTCACACCTTTCAAATTCGATCGAGCGCGCTCCCGTTGTAACGTTCGTCCGAGCTCAATTTAATCGATTCGCGTTTTAGAGACGAGGAATCAAAGAAACTCTCGAGCAAACGTCGGAGATGCAGGAAGAGGCGGCCGCGCCCACGGCTGCGGCCGACGAGGAAGTCGTAGTTGACACGGTAAACGATTCCGCGCCTACTTTGTCAAATCGCGATTTGGAAGGTCCCCGAGATTTCGTCGTAGGTCCGCAACAATTGTTGGGCCTCGACCATGCAATATTGCAGAGCATCGAGCGATGTCGTGAGTATGAAAGATACCAGGAATAAGGTAACCGTAATTCAGCGGCAGTGTTTTTTACTGAATGAACTTTATCTCCGCAACAGCCACCGAAGATTTGAAGAGAAAGATGTACAGTTGCGTGCTAGTTGTTGGCTCCGGAATGAAGTTCAGAGGCATCGGGATGTGGCTTCGCAATCGGATATCGCTGCAAATACCTTATATGTATCGGGCCGGTATGTATTTGTTACGAGACGTCCCTGCTGAATTACAACGGTGGAAAATGCAAATTTACGACTCGAGGGAGAGGAGGGGACAGCAAAGTCAAACTGTCTCATCATTTTGTTCTTATCGTAGAACAATTGGACATTATAACGGAACCGAAGGAGATGGATCCCGGTATAACGACCTGGAAAGGTGCAGGGATCCTAAGCTGTTTGGAAACAGCCCAGGAATTGTGGATTCCTCGAGGGGAGTGGCAACGCTGCGGTGTCAGGATACTAAGAGAAAGAACTCCTTTTCTGTGGTAAAAAAAGGTATCTGCTATGTTATTTGGCGGTTTTAGCGCTAATTAATTAATCACGATTACATTTGCTTTGCATTCTTACGACCCCTTAATTATTATAATAAAAACTAACGAATAAATAATACTTATTTGACATCACAATAACTCGGTCATTCTAACTTGAGTTTTGTCGTTACGGTGTTGTTGTGCTATGTCAGCTTCCAGTAGAAAATTTACACAATCTAAAATCTCCGGTCTGACTTTCACGTAAACATCATCACCGCCCTTCATGTAGGCTGATGTTAACGTCTGAAAACATTTCTCCACGTTTGCACAATTGATTTTATGAAAATTATAATATGTTCCATCGGAGTATGACTCACCGCTAAAAATTCCTTAAATTCGTCATTCTTAGGAAAAATCGTGTCAACTACGGAATACTGAAAAATATTAATTATCTTTACCGATATTTTGCTTTTGGAAAAAAAACTGCGCGACTTTGTGCATATAATAAAAAAAAAAATTATATAAAACAGTGTCGGTATGTTTTGGTTGTACTCACCAAATCATCTTTCACACTTTGAAATATGCGTTTCGTTAGGATCTGTTCATTTTTATATGTTCTATCTGCAAAAGTTTCTGTGAAACCCACGTAAGCTTCTCGCATTTTATCGAGTCCACTTTTCTTATTTTTTAAACTGCGCAATAGATATGATAATGACGTAAATATATAATTAAATGTAAATAATAACATGCAGATTTTGTAACCAAGTTTTAATATTGTAGGTATTGGAAAGGCTCTTTGATGTACAATCATAAAATGAATTTAGGCAAGTATGAACCAACACTTATCTCAGATTTCCGCTATGTTTTTGAGGATATTATCATTCTATTTACAAATAATGTGAGAAACAATGTGAGATAAATATGCAGCGTCGTTTTATGTTTCAGTTACAGTAAATGTAATTTGAAAAATGTTGACAATTTGATGCGAATAAATGGTAATAAAAATCTTGAAAATAATTTTTAATGATGATGACGAATTAATACTTGTATTTTGAAGAACTAAATTATACTTTATATAAATAAAATTATATTAATATAAATAAAATTAATTAAACTAATATAAATAAAAGATCTGACTTGAAAATTGTTACTGATTATATATATATTTTTTCAGAAGCAAGATAGCAATACTAAATCTCATTCATTATAAAATAGCTTTAATAATGAAACCTTTTTCAAATCTGTGCCGGATCTTACTTGCCTAAATTCATTTCACGCCTTTATACTATGTTATACTCACTACTTAATATCT